TTGCTGCATGCTGCCCTTTTGAGCCCAACCAATCAGAGCACAGCAAATCATGACACCCTTTTCAGCCCAGCCAGTCAGAGCCTGGCATAACTTCCCAGCCTTTACAACCCAACCAATCAGATCATGGCTCTGCTTCCAAGTCTTTTCAGCCCAATTAAACAGAAGGCATAGGTGCTTTCCATCCAATCAGAACGTGGTGCTACTTCCTCCTTTTCAGCCCAACCAATCAGAGTGTGGCTCTGTGTCTCATCCAATGAGAGCACCCACTGCTTCCCAGGCAGAGGGAAAAGAGGATGTTAGCACTCCTCTGTCCCATTGCCAAAGTCTCCTCTAGCATCCTGGGGGCAGACAGAGATCTGCAGGACAACCCCTGGAGCTTTGTGCAGGAGGGAAGGAAGCAAGGATTACAGCTACAGGCAGTGGGCTCTGGGCTGGAGCAGCGCAGCCAGGCACAGCTGCACAGCCTACAATCTGGGCACACAGAGAAAGCTTATCCAGCTGAGGCCTGGGGGATTGTCCTTACCAAACACTCTCCAATCCTAAAGGCCTGCATGGACTGCACCAGTTCCTTGAGCTCTTTGCTCTGCAGAAGCTCAGAAATCCTTCTGTCCTCTGTTCCTCTGGCCTTCCCCCTGCAATAGCCCAGTGTTCTGCTGCTATTGCCACCTGACAGTTATTAAAAAAAATACTTTCCAAGCACAGATTGCATACTATTATATTAGAAAAACACAGATTAGAAAAAAACAACTGAAAAAGGAATATAGTATTATGTATTATTAATAAACTCCTATCTGCTTGAAAACCAATAGCAGATCATCATCCTGGAGTAACTCCTGAATACCACCTGAACTTGCTTTCATGGATTCAGCATCAGAAATTGCTCCAGCGCATTGGATCTGAATCTTTGAATTCTACCTTGAGTTGTAGTGTAATTCAGAACACACACACAAAAAAATCTGTGACTGTTCCTTTCAAAACAAAATATATTAGAAGAGAACATACTCAGAAAACCAAAGACAGTAAACATCAAATGACATTTACATGTAAAAGGTGTACTTTTGGGGTGCTTAGCATCTTCCTACTCACTATGCAAGTTTTATGAACTACAGCAGCTTACCAAATTAAATGCAATTTAATATTATATTAGCCATCATAAATCATATCATGACAAATTAAGTCTGTGTAACAAAAGTAGCTGCAGGTGGTCTGATTCAAACTTGTCTCTGGATCACAACAGCATTTGCGATGGCAGCGCACTGCTGCTCAGCTCATTTGACTCAAAGGTAACTGTGGCATTTGCTGCTTTCAGAGAACATTGCAATGAGGGTACCAATCTCAGAGCTGTTCCTACAGCTACACTAGACTGCTCCCAGAGCTCACCGGGCCACACCAGAGCATTCTAGGGCACACTGAAAAGCTCTGGGTTTTCAGCACTTACCTCCACTTTTCCATGCATCACTGCTCGGAGGCTTAAATACCATCACGATCAGCAGACTTACGCCACACACTGGTTACTGCAGAGATGCTTTTCTCTATTCCCGTGGCTGCCACTTGGCTCAGTGCCGCAGTGAGCAGAGCAGGGAGGGGATGTGGGGGGGTGGGAGGAGAGGAGAAAGCATGACATGAAACAAAATTTTATTAAAAAGCATTGTACAGAGAAGTTAACAGGTCAATCCCGGTCAGAGGAACGAAATACATTAACACAGAAACATCAGAAACCATTGAAACACTCCAGGTATTGTTAAAATGCCTAAAAGCTAAAATGAAAATCTAATTCAAGGGACTTAGCAAACTGTAAAATAAGGGAAAGCACTTTCATTTATTTAAACTGCTAGTATAGTCCTGACTTCTTAAATAGTCTGATACTTAAAATAGCACACCAATGGCTATTCTTTCAAAAGTAGGTAATGTAACTTAAAGCCACGTGCACTGTTTAGAAAGCCAAAGATAAATTCATTAAGTGCAATTATTAGAATTTGACTTACATTTTCTTTATACATCATGGAGTCCTTAGCAGTAAAGTTTCAGTAATTGACCAACCCCAGGCTCGCTATGTGTATTTTTTATAGTAAAGCCATTTTACACAGTAAAATGCTTTCATCCTTTTAGCATGAGCTTAAATTGGATGGTGGGAATAGGGAGATGCTTGTGAACTCCTTGCCATTTGGCTGCAGAAGAACAGGACTATACCATTCAAGGCAGATGAAAAACTGAGGAAGGACCCCAGGAACCAACCATAGCAAATCCTGTATACATATACCTGGAAAAGGGAACGACCGGGGTCAAACCACAGGTTAGAAATATAAAAGTCTCCTAAGGGATTCAAGGCTTAAACAGCCCCTCAGCATATGTGGCAAGGGTTTCTTTGTGGCTATTAAGATAATTTAACCTAAATAAGAATGAATTTAAGTGAAGTGAAGAAACATCCTGAAAGAACTTTAGGTACAAATGAAGAGGCCATTTTTGCTTCAGAAAGCAGAAATATCATAGTTCTGTAATAAAAACTGTTCATCAGATAGCTGCCTCCTCTGACAGATCAAGGAATCAGTATTTCGTAATTGTCTCTCAAGAAAGACGCCTGGGAGGAAGGCTGTCACCAGAAGAGCTCTTCAGTTTTCCTTAATTAGAACTGCCTGTCAGATGACAGATTACCAGTTCCCTAAGAAAGATAATGCTTCTCTCCAACCCTCCGCCCTCAAGACCCTTTAATATATTATATGGATTTTTATCTCATTGGAAGAGTTTGACTTTCTCAACAAAAACTCACTACTCATATGACTGAACTTCAGAAAGGATGTGCAACAGATTTGTAAACAGTAATATGTGATTAATAGAAATACAGTATGTCATACACATTTTTCTTTTTTAAAATAACAAAACCTTGTCAAACACAAGGGCACAAGAGACTAGTTTAAAACAAAAGCAATAGTACAAAACCGTCATACAAAATTAGGAAATGGTGCATCCTTAAGCATGCTTCAGTCTAGAACTCTAGAGATGCCCAAGAAATAAAGAACCTGGCATAGCAATAGTGAAATAAGAACAGCTAGGACTAACCTCCATCTATTTCAGGACTGTAAATCAGTTCTAAAAGTCTACACTTCTATACACACTACTTCATTGCAAGCCATTCACTCATTCTCCAATGTCACTAGTTCTTAAATTTAACAATATCTATTACAAAAGGTATGCTGCTTTAATGCATGCAGATTGAAGGAGTCCGTATGCTAGTCTTTAGCCCTGTGTATATCTTCCTTTAAACTCAGCAGGAATTGCTCTGAGCAGGGTACACAGCATACAGTCTCTCTGACATTTAAAACCAGAACACAGTTTGTGTTAGGAAATATGCATGAAGATAGAGAGTTGGGGCATTACTGCCATGTGGTAAAGATAGCATGGGGTCATGCCATCCTCCATTATCACTAATTCCCAGAGAACAACTCTAGGTAATAGAGCTTACAGAATTCATTCTTTACATCTTTTCAGTGGCATATAGTCCACACTCTGTCTGCCCTGCTTACAGATGTTTATTTGGTTATGAAACATTAAAATGAGAGAGAACTGACTGAACTCGGCATAAATTATAGAACTATATTCAATAAAATACTTGTGTACTTTTTGGCAGAGTTTGGAAATTAATGGCAATATATGTGACTTGGCCAGCAAAATCATTTTGTGTGAATTTATACAGTCCCCACCATATGGCACAGTTCTGACCAGTGACTACAAGGCTTCACTGTTCTTCTTTAACAAGCAAATTTCCCAGTATCACCATACTAAGACAGTAGTAGAAGAAAACTTGGGCTACAAAAAAAAAAAAAAAAAAATCTCCTGAAGTCAGTGAAAATAATATTCAGTACCAAAGATCAACCATGTTGGTGACAAAACTAGAATTAGAAATAGGTAAGTCAGAAGTCCCAGCTCCATACTTGGGTTACTACCATGCTCAGTTACATGACATGTACTGTTACATGACAAACAGTTACATGAGCTGAAACAGATACAGGGACTGCAGAATCCTGCAGTCAGGATTCTTCTGGTACATATGCAGAGAAAGAAGAAAACATGGACTGAAATAAAACTAATTTCAAAATGGCTTATTAAAAGATACAACGATATGAAGTTTTGGTTAGGGGAAAAAAAAAAAAAACCACGAAAACACAACAGTTCTGATGAACTGCTTGATTTTTAAGTTGACACTGTTCCCAGTACATGTTATTGAACTTCCCTGTAATCGAGTCAAGGATGTCTGCCAAAGGAGATTTTTGCTGTAGAATCTGGAAAGAGGAGCTGTGCAGAATGGCTACTGTTGCAGTCTGTGAACATATTGGATTTACCTTAGAATCTAGAAGGACCACTACTGTATTTGTTTCAGTCAATTGGTATTGCTAAAAGTAATACCATCTTATCATGTGCAATGCTTCAACATCTTGTCATTTTTAGTAATTCATACACAGCCTATAACTGGATCCCTCTTCCAAACTTTAAGCCAAATTTGATTGAAAGTACAGTCAAACTCAGTAAATGAAAATTCACTTGTGTCCTTAATGAACTGATTTCTCGCGTAAACATTTTTTCCCCTGAATTAAAAAAGAAAAGGGAAAAAAACCTACAATATTTGATACCTAAGGCTATACAATCTTACTAGCTTGGAAAACAGTTTGTTCTTTAGTAAAACAAACCAACCATTTTTTCTGCATTTCAAATGATCTCTTGTTATCAGGAGAAAACTGAGTAATTTTTCGATAACATCTACTTTTAAAAGTCAACTCTTTGAAAGGGTAGATAATAGCAGGACTAGGGGAAATGGTTTTAAGTTGAGGGAGGGAAGATTTAGATTGGATCCAGGCGGAAGTTCTTTCCTATGAAGTGGTGAGGTGCTGGAACAGCTGCCCAGAGAGTCTGTGGTTGCCCTGTCCATCCCTGGAAGTGTACAAGGCCAGGTTGGATGGGGCCCTGGGCAGCCTGGTCTAGTATTAAATTTGGAGGTTGGTGGCCCTGCATGTGGCGGGGGGGTTGGAGCTTCACGATCCTTGAAGTGCCTTCCAATCCAAGCCATCCTATGACTCTATGAAAAACAGGACATAGAAGTATCTGTGATATTGCATTTGGCCAATAATCATAGCCTGATGTCTAGGACACTCACATAAGAATTCTATATTGCTTAGGAATCCAAAAAATGGAATGATTGAAACATTAAACTGTAGCACCATTAATACTTATTTTCCTAAAACATCCTAAGGACCAGAACAAAATCAAAACAGAACAGAAACATTGTGCTTACATTGCATTGATAGAAAACAATGAGTTGGTCATACTTGTGTCTGTACTTCAGTAAAGTCTGGCCACATTTACAGTTCTACTGGAATGGTATTGGAAAAGGTCACACTTTGCTCAGCAGTTTTCTGAGTTTCATTCATCCTGTTTCCTTTTGGGCTTTTTGGGATTCCGAGATCGGCTTTTTGCTTTGCAGAGTGGACATATTGGTGCATTCCGATGAATTTGTTGGTGACAGGATAAACAGGCCTGAAATGCAACATTGCAGTCTTCTGTTATAAACATTTAAAGCGGCACTGATGCATTAGTTATTGGGTATCATATTCTAAGATATAGTACAGAATAACAAAGGCTTCTTACTTTCAAAGGCAAACCAATGCCAATTTTTATTTCCAGGTCTCTGAAAAACAAGGCCAACTGAAAAACAAGACCACATTGTTTCACACTGAAGTGAAACTACATCTCAGCAAGCACATGATTTAGGCCTGTTTTTTTCTCTCTTTTTTTTTTGTTTGTTTGTTTTTGTTTTTTAATAATTTCAGCATGAAATTTTTGTTTAAGCTTTCCACATGTTCTAAAGATGTCTACATGAGTAACATCACACTGAGTCGCACGTTACAGTGAAAACTGATTGCAGTTTCACAGAATTCAAGGCAGAGAGGGTGATTAGATGAAGTCTACATATTTAACACAAGACACAGCACTCTACTGTTCTGTTTCATACTAAGCCCTTTAACTTCCATTTGAATGAAGCATACTGCTCTCAGAAAGGTGTTTGCTGACCTAATCCTAAACATGAAGTACATAACTATGAAGTATACTTACCTCAGTTTAACCCCCTAGTCAGTGAATGTTTAGAACCTGAGTGGGATAGATACCCCTACAGAATTACATTTATATTTTTTGTACCGACTACAGAAAGAGCTGAGCGTAACTGTTGATGGGATGTAGTACACCTCTCTTAAGTGCTTATGGTTAGGCTGAATTAATCCACACATTAGTCTTGCACTGCTATGGAGAGTCCCGAGTCATAAAAGTCAAGTAAAGCAGAGCCTTGTCCTTAATCCCTGATGACTGGTGCTACCAGTTTAAGTCTACTGGAGTTGTTACTTGTTACTGATATGAACCCCTACAGAAAAGATCAGCATCAGGACATGTTTTTCCTTTTTGTAAATACTGACCAAGTTTATAAGCACTGTACATTCCAATGACACGAAAGAAAAAATAGCACATTCAATTTCCTAACCTTCATTGGAGGTGGTTGTTGTCTGAATGTTGCTGTCTGTCTGGTATCTTGCTTCCTAGCCACTTGCAGCTGTTGGGCTGCTGCTGCAGCTGCAGCCAGAGACTCTGGGATGGGAGGCTCCTGTGGTTCTGTCTGCCATTCAGCTTTCTGCTTTTCAAAGTAGCTAGACCAATAAATAAATAAATAATTAAAAATAAGCACCTTCTGGACTACGCCATTATTTTATGGAATATTTTGTGTTAAAGTATATGATTTATATTTCCATGTTATGTTCCTCCATTAGAGTAAAATTGCCTATGTTTAGACACATTTAGTCTGTAAATATAACTCTTACTATTTTCCTTTCTATTTGTACACATCAGATAGATTTCAGAAGAATCGCAACAACTTCCAGTTTCTAATACATCTTGATTTATAACTGAATATAAATCTAATAGGCTATAAAATATATAGTGTACATACTTAAGCTTTAATAGTGTTAGATTCACTTATGAAAATCTAGTTTTGTATTTTATTCTGTTAAAGTTAATATTTTAATGCAAAAGATTTATATATTCTTTGTAGTTTCAGGCTGCTTTCAATAGAAAACTGTATTTCTGAAAAAATCCAATGGCTCTTAAATCCTTTCTTCCATCTACTAATAAAAATAAAATGGCAAAATAATCAGTAGAATCAAAAAATGGTGTAAAGCCAGACAGCGTTTGCTTTGGAGACTTACTCAAGGGACAGTTTCTCTTCTTCCTCACACAGGTCTGGCAGCCTCTGCAAGCCCAGTGTCATTCGCAGAGCATCTACATGCTCCTTTAGGGGTTTGTACTCCTCATGCAGGCGACGAGTAGATTCCAAGAGTTTATTGAGATCATTCTCAGACTGCTTGATAGTATTCTCCATCTGAAACAGATGAATGAATATGTTTTTTTTTTAAATAGTCAGGGACTATTCTTTCAAAAGCTCTCTGAGCAAAGAAACTGTCAAAAAGAAAAGCTTTTTCTCACCCAAGTTAGAAGAGACTGGAAACAACACAATAGTCAAGCAAAGAGTTTTGGTTAGAATTAGCAAGCTAAGAAAAGGTTCCTGTTTCTCTTACTGCAGTAAATGGAAAAAGAGGCAGAAAAAGACTAGGTTAGAGAAAAGAGAGAGAGAATGAAACTTACTGAGAAAAGTTATGCAACTGGGTAGAGGAACAGAAACTTCAAGTGAAAAATATTTGCAGTCTGTTCATCCAAAGCATAGCTTGTACTTGCTTGTAATGTGAGAATGCTTTATCTCTGGTGCAAAGCACAGATACCTTCAGAGCTAAGAATCACTGTACAGTCACATCAGTGCCCTAACGTAATGAACTCTCCACTTAGCCCTTCTAATTGACTAATATTCCCCCTTTATAAGCTGTTTTTCTCTTATTTGTATTAATTTCCTTCAGGCTGGTGTTTCTTACTGTACTGAGGTAATGTCTAGTGGTTCCACTAAAAGATGAAGATCAGCTCTTTCTAACAGCTTCACAAATATCACACATTTTCCTAAAATACTTTTTCTTCCAAAACAAAAAACAGTCAAAAATTCCAACTAACTGCCTCTAGCTGCTAAATCAGAAAAGACTAAGAGAATCATTTTCTATGGGACTGCCAGAATGAAGTTACTATGACTACTGGTGAAGTTCTACAATGGACTTGGTCATCTAGCCCCTTAATCCAAATGCTTTCCATGCTAACATCATAAAATACCTCAGTCAAAGCAGACGGGAAAAAAAAAAAAAAAAACATTTCCTACATTAAATTTACTTTGTAGGATCCTAGAATGATGTTGCGTGGTAAAGTCCAAATAATTGAACCAGTAATCATACACTGACACGTGCAATTCCACAACTGGCGGCCTTATTCACATACAACTGTCACAGACTGTCTGCATCAGGACTGTTGCATACCACATTAATATCGGCATGGATCAGACGCAGCTCCTCCACATGTGCCATCTTCTCTTGCAGCAGCAGGTCCATTTCTTGCTTGTATTCTTTCAGGTGCCTCTCCTCAGACTCCAGGGCTTCAAACTCTGCTTTTAGACGTGCCTTTATTTTTTCCATCTGCAAAGTCTTATTTCTGGATCCCAATAAAAATTACAAATACAAAGGAACAACAGTAAGTAATTGCAAAATATTTTTGTGAGGCATCACATTGTAGGTGAATAAATGCATGAAGCAGGCATCAGTAATAGACATGGGTGAAAAATAAGACTTATCTAGTACCTTTCACATATTTGTGTTTCTGCACACATCCTGCATTCCGGTTCTTTTTATTTTAATTTTTTGCCAATCTGTAATAAAAACATTTAGAAACCCAGTTCATATCTGTCTTCAAAGCTAGTAATTAGAGGGTGTGAGTTTCAGTCATCAGACATCTTTAAGAAGCAGAACAGCATACTGCTGTCGTGATCCAGCAGTTGTCCAATTTGCTGAGCAGAGCAAACAGCACGTTCTTGCTCTTGGTCACATTTGTGACATGTTAGTTATTTTCTCTGTGCCGGAAGTCAGAATATGACATGCCATAAACAATAAGCCAACAACACTCAAGTGTTTATAAGAATAGCCTACAATGTCACTTTTCAAGCACATAAAAAGAGTTCTAGGATTGCTTCACCTTCTGTGAAACAAACAAGAATGCAGAATTCCTTTTTAGCCACGTAACACCTACTACAACTATCTCCAGATTTATTTCCAAGTTCATTACACAGTAGACTTCCTACAAACACAATGTAAAAAAGGGCAGGGGAAAAGGGAGTTCGTGTTTGTATTTAAGCTTCCTTGCCCTCGCGCAAAGTGGAGCAAGTTTGATTCAATTTCAATATAAGCAGTAAGGCTGACTGGAATGTACTCTGTAGATTACAGGAAGCTGACTATCAGATGAATAGTAAATTCTAAGAACATGGATTTCACACCAATCCTAGAAAAGGGTGCATGACTTCCTTTCCCACAGTGCCTAGACTTTGAGAAGGCACTGTTTTAAGAAGAGCATCCTTTCTTGCTCTTTTTGCATCAAATTGCAGTTAGAAGCATATTCTACTTATCTGCAGGGGCACATCAGAAGTACAAGTAGAAATCCTCCCTCTATTCTGTTTGCTTAATAGCAAGATCCCACCGTTACACTAATGGCACAGTATCATCTCAGGTCTTCCTTGTTATCTTTGGCTTTAACAGAATTCCTGTTTTCTCTCATTCCAACAAAATTTTAGAGCTAGCCTGAGGACTATTCTTTAAAGTACATGATAGGTGTCTATATTAGATTCTATACTTTGACAGGAGCTCACCCTCGATCCCCCTCCTTCTTGGGGATGCTCACACTGTGACTGTGAATCCTCTCTGTCCCCTTGTTCCTGTTTTCCAAATTAGCCTCAATGAGTGCAACATATGCTTATGCCCCAAGTTTTTGTAATCCTTTTATTGACTGCCTGAGACATCACTGGTAGAGGGAATTGGCACAACAGGCTTTCACCAATTGCTGAAGACCATGACAGAAAGCTGGCTCAGTCCCTGGGACAACCAACTGCGGCCATCTATTCCAAGAATTACAGCTTCAGTTGTTCCCTCTCTCACTTCAGGAGCTTATGAAGCTGCAATAGATAAAAATAGTATCATAAATAATTTCACCAGTATGATGGATATCAGGAAGAATTTCTTCTCAGATAGAATGGTTAGGCATTGGAAAAGATAGCCCAAGGAAGTGATGTAGGTCACCCACCCTGGAGGTGCTCAAGAAAAGGGTAGATGCAGTACTTAAGGACATGGTTCAGTGGGCAATATTGCTGGGGTAGACAGTTGGACTAGATGATCTTAGAGGTCTTTTCCAACCTCAGAAACTTGAGTACAAATCAAAAGTAAGGTGAAGATAACACATCACATAGCTAGAGGAGGAGATTACCTAAATAAGCAAAGTTTCTTAAAATATACACTGTACGACTTTAAAAAAAAGCCTTTGAACAAAAATGAATTGCACTTACACTTACCGAATTTTTATAGATGAATAAATCAATTTTGAAATGGGATTTATGGACAAACATTTATTTGGCAAGTTTTTTCCCCCCCCCCCCATTTGCTATACAGCAATACTTACTAGCCATATAAATACTGGAGTTATATTAGCAAGAGATCATTGCTGTCCTCTATTTTATACATGTAAATACCCTGTGAAAAGTATAATCCAAACATTTATGCTTGTTTTCACCAGACATCATTTATTTAAAGCATTCATTTAGTAGTGGCAGCTTTGAACACTGAAACTAGGAGGATTTGTTCCAAGTATCCACTCTTGTGTTTATCACATGCATTCACCTAACAGGATGGAAAAAGATTACCTTCCACACTGTTATTAGGAACTGACAGCTATCTTCTACCAAACTGCTACACTAAATGAGTTGCAGGGGATTATTTCAGTTCAAATGATTAGCTTTTGGTATTAGGAAATAAAAGTGCACACAATTAAAGCCCTTTATATTAACATCAGGCCACAGGCAATGATGCTTTGAAACAAAAAAACAATATTGTGATTTCTATACTGCCTAATGAAATCTGCTCTCTTGTTCTTTACCCTTCTAAGTTCTTAGACTGCAACGATAACAGAAGTAACTAATTGTGTCCCACTATGCCATTTAGCAGTGAAGCAGGCATCTGCTCTGGATAAGTTCACACACACCCTCTGATCTTCTGGTCAGAACAATGAGTTCCAGTCTTTACACATTTGCTTAATTTTACAGCTAAGATTAAGTTAATTTACATAATGCATATCAACAAGTATGTGCAGATATGTCTGGACTGGGGGTTTATAGTCTACTGACAGCAGTAATTCCTTACTAACTGTGTATATTTGTACACATCTAGGAAAGTAGGTTTTCAGAATCAGATTCTAGAATCCCATTAAAAACCCACCTGAGCTGCCTTTAATATGTGACAGAGAGCACCATCAGAAATAAGCAATTTTTTATTTCAGCAAGGTTTTTTTTCTCTGCCTGTAGAATAGTACCCTGAATGCAAATTAAAGCCTGCCAAATCTATCAAAGGTGTATTTTCTTTGTAAGCATAAGAAAGTCTCATAGTAATTTTGAATGAATTTCTTCACAGAATGAAAGGATATTTTAAATAGGTAGTTTTTTGCCACATTTTGTGAAAGGAAACTCAAAATTGACATCAGTGCCTCAAGCAGGATTTTTGTTTGTTTTAATTTATTTTCAAGCAAATTTATTAATACACCATCATCTAGTAAAGCTATTCATGTCACATTCAGCATTTTATACCATAAACTAATCTAAAAAATGTCTTAACTGCAGTGTTAACATACTAGTTAAATACATTATCAGAAAACAGAATGCGCCATTTAATTAGATATTTAAATTCAGTGTTACAATAATTGGACATCAAATAGGTCATATCTACACCTATGTTTTAAAAGAGCATGCCTAATATATGAGTAGAAAAGTACTGTTCTTACTCTGCAAAGCATGTACTATCCCATCTTTTTCTACATGTAGTCTTGGAATGCTAGAATATTTTTGCCTGATCTTTGTTCATCTTCATGGTATAGCATGAAAAAGGCAAAGGCCCATACACTGTTGACTTCTTCACCTTATTAAATGGGTACAGAGTGCTTATTAAAGGTGCTAGTACCAGGCAGAAAGACACCTCTGCAGCAACTTCCGTGCAGAGCCAGGCAGCAGCTCCTTTGTCCATTGCCTGTACTGCAAACATACCCACTGATAGCCTCCCTTCAGCCAGGAACGTACCACTTCTTGCCACTTGCACGGTTATCCATCACCAGCTCACCCTTCAACTCTCAGCTTCATTTCAGATCACTTCCCACACTTGTTCTGGCTTTGGATACACTAATTTCTGCTAAATATCGACAGTTTAGGCCTTACCTGAATATCAGTGTCCGAAGTCCAAGAATGAGCATGTCATACCTAAAGCTTAGAAAAACACACCTCTGAACAAATGATGCCATGCACTAGTGTCTATGATCCCTTCCTCTTTTAATGCATCCTGTCAGATATGCTGTATGGAGAGCACTATATACAAATTCCTGTTGTATCACATTGCACAGAACAGCAGAGCAAGACAGTTGCCTGCCTTTGTGGCAGATCCTCCAGATGACGACAGAAAAAGCCTAGTGTCGTTGTTTCCCTATCCATCACCACCACCACACGGCCACCCCGGCACACAGCCCTGATCATCTCTTCAGAGCGCTAGTCAGAGCAGGTAGAAAGGTTTCTGCTATCTTTCCCTGCCAATCTTAGGCACTGATTGCTTCATAGGCTCAGATGCTTCCCTCTTCCAGCAGAGACATATACCCCACGCTTCCCCGCAGGCCGCAATCTCGGAGCAGTAGAGACTCCTCCGCCCTGGCAGCTGAGCGGCCCCACGACCACCCACGAGTTTCTGCCCAGCTGCACTCAGCCGTCCCAGTCCTGCTCAGACACACACTCCATGCCGTTCTTTGGGGCACACCCATCCTCAGCTTTCCGTGACAACCCCTTCCTTTCCCAGCCTGTTAGGGCTCCTGCCGGCGGGGGGAGAATGGTGCAACTGCATGAGGCATAATAGTAAATTTACAACAGAGAGATTTAGGGATGAGAAATTATAGTCCAAAGAGCTTAAGAGAAAGCACGCGCGGACGAACACCTCTCCCCCAGCTGCGCGGGGCTGAATCTGACTTCCCCACCCACACGTTTTTCCTTCTCGTTACGGTATTACTGAGTTAATTCTCTGGAAACCTACGATCATCGCTGCTGTTTGCTGCACGTTCCGCTGGCGTTTCCCAGCTTCAGATGTGCCTTTTCTAACTAGAAATATGTATTTTTAGCTCCTATCATAAAGCTTGGGATGGTTTTCTTTCCCTCAGTAGCACAATAGCTACTTTCAGATCGATGCAACTACTCTACTTCCCCGAGGAGAAAGCTGCTTCACGCAACTGATGCAGCACAAAGCAAACATACCTGATCTCCTTGATGCTCTCCAGTTTGCACATGATCTCTTGCTCATCTGCCATGCTTTTCACTCCCGATTTAAATCTACAGTGAAACGTACAAAATGCCAGAGGGAAAAAAAAGAAAACATACAATAGATACAACGTAGTCACCCCCTCCTAGCATACGGTCTCTGAGCCTGTGCGGTAGGCTCTAGTGGGAGCTATGGGACTTAGAGTCCAGCTTCCTCAAACTGCCTAGGCAGACAGTCGGCAGAAAGACTACAACACCCACAATGCAAAGCAGGGCCGCCCCCCCACACCCTTCTTCCTGCAAGTACATTTTAAAGTCAGCTTGTCACGCCTTATTATGTCAGAGGCTGTTAGGAGTGCAAAGAGGGAACGAGGTGCCCTCCTGAAGTCTGTGCAATATTTAACATTTCATTAAAATCACGGAATAAGCACTAAGTGATCATTTGATGTGCTGGCGATTTTGAGGTATTTTCCCCTTCCCCCCCAAACCAACGCATGCAATAGCCATTATTACTACTGTGCTGTTTTCTCCCAGGTGTTCTGACTTAGGAGTGCATCTGGAGTCCAGTAGAGACATATCTTATTCTTTGGGATTTTCTTCTGTATTTCTGCCATTATTCGTAGCATTTTTAGTTTTGAAAACAGTATGTGAACGCCAGGTTGAGAAGAGAGACCATTTGCATTTCTGAGGACATTCCAGCCATGCATATCAGAGCACTTACAAGGACTGTTGAATAGACTTCCAGCCATTCCTCACACAGGTAATTATTTTCCTTCAGTTTCTGTTGTGAACAAAGCATCAGTTTATTTTTTGAAGACAGTGGTTTTACACCTCAGCACTTTGAAAGATTACTCTGTGGATCCCTCAGGAAGAAAATTCCTGATTCTTCACCAGTATACCTAAGCAATTACTTAGCAGTTCCCTAGTTTTTATGGTCATGCTGGGTTGAAAGATCAGTACATTACAACAAATGAAAGCTCAAGGCCTACACAGCAGGGAAACTGGATCATAAAATCTTCAACTTAAGTATGTTTACATATACAAGCATCAGTATCATAGTCTAATGAATACAATGGACCACCCATCAGTCAGTAGCATGAGGTCAATGAGCACAGGGCAATTAAGTGGGATATATTACCCAACTGTTATATATGGAAGGCAAGTAAAAATGGACATAACACAGAGGAAAGCAGCAAGATTGGTAAGAGCTCTGGGGGACATGAAAGGCATCTGAACGTGACAGCGTGGCCAAAGTAACATGGCACTTGGTTGATCTGCTTGAGTCAAGATTTGTGGTCACAGAACTAAATGTCTTGAGTCCGTTGCATACACAGTTGCAGACTAAAGGAAAACTGATCCCCCTCACATGTGACTGTGCCTGGAATACTAGGAGACTAGACTATGAGGTAATAAGCAGAGTGCGAGCCACAGGAGGGTCATGCTCTGACTCCAGCTCTGAGCAACTCTGGATGGAATAGATAGAGCTCGTAATAACAAGAGTCATCCTCTCTGTAAAAGCTGTTAAAAAAAGTTTTCATAGCAAATAATCCACCAGTCAGATGAGAAAAGTCTACAAATTATTTTATTAAATAAGCCAAACAGAAAGGTTTGGACAGATTTCAGTAAAGTTTCTGACTACAGAGTGTTTCAGTAGGAAAGGACATCTGGACAGTAAAGGATTCTCCGTATCATTCTTAACTATTTACATAACATTGTCCACATTAACCCAGGTACTGCAGATCCCTGCTTTGAGGCAGGGGTTTTGCAATGATTAGCGATGAGTTATGTGGATTATGGCCTTCTGCTACAGCAACCTGCTTCTTGTCACCTTCTTCAGTGTCCTCTCAGACATTCCCTCCTGTGGTCTGGATGAGCTATCGTACACGAACATGAATTCAAGTGTCCACAATAGGTTTTCATGCCAGAGAAAGCACTCAAAGGCCAGAAAATGAAAGAATGTGTCAGAGAGGAGGAAAACCCATCACCAAGAATTACTGAGAATGAGATAGGGTGAGCAGCCAGAAAGTTTGTCTGGAAAAGGGATGAGGTGCTAGATTCGTATGGTTGCTTGGAGGGCTGGAAAACAGATCTGAAAAAACACCTCATCTGGGATTTTTGTTTGTTTGGGGCTTCAGAGGAGTACTCCCATTTATCTGTAAATATTTATACACCCATTCATTTAATTTGAAGAAAATGAGCTGCATTACCATTCAATTTCTTGTGTATTTATATCAAATACTGTCAAGAACTTTGTCATGTACTGAGTGTAGTTGAGGAATCATACAGTTTTCTCTTACACACTCAGCTGAGCTAAGATGAAAACTATGAAAGAAGTACCACTTGTTTCCTTTGGAAATGACATACATAGTTCAAAACAAACACAAAGAACCTACTGAGAAACCAGGCACAAAAATTAAAGCAAATGAGAAAACTGTAAAATATTCTATGTAACAAAAGGGATTCAGGTTTGCAGAAGGAAAGGTGACAGGTTGGCATCAGGTCATTCATGAAAACTCTAACACTTCTGTATGACATTAGAACCAGTACAATGCAGCTGCCTGCTTATTTTTTCCACTGAAAAAATATATTTACTCATCTTCAAGTGTTAACATTTGTGCAAAACTACAAAACATTAGCTTTAGAATAACAAAAGGCAGAAACAATCCTTAGAAAGATTCAAAATGAATTAAGGCTTAAGGCAGTCTATTTCATAAGAGTAGATAGCCATTGCTTACAGCAGGCTTTAAATCAGTCTCTAGATAAACAGCAATCTTTAGGAGCATGCAATTAGCTTGAGCTCTACATACATCCACATGAAATCAGGGCCTGCTGTGGTAACAAACATATCCTACTGTTCTCTCAGTTGTGAAATCATCACATCTGTCTTCCTGGGCCCTCTACCTTATGCTTCCTATAAAGTACAGTGAATTTGCTTTGCATATTCTTTCAACTCATGCTGGTTCAGGAAATGGGGCTTTTTTTTTTTCTCCCTGTCCTCATCAATGAATAATATGGACTTTCGTATGTGGCTTCTACTGCTATTGCTATTCTATTACAGTCAAATTTATGAATACTTTTTCAGTGTAACTTTTAGCAAAGTGACAGAAGAAAGAGAGAAGGATGTACTTACACCATTCCTGTCAGTGTAGGTGACCAGGTGAGGAAAAGCCCAGAGAGATTTACCAGTATTCTGGTGTTTGTACACTCTGAGATTGCAAAGTAAAATCTAGATGTCATGAGGCATATTACTCTAAGGGCAGAGCAGAGGGTCAAGGATCTGTACAACCAGATTACTCTTTCAGCTCTGATGTTAACTCTCAACCATTCACTGGTGGCACGCAGCTTTTGTTTCATGGATTGGGACAAGTATCTTCATATGTCTGTGTTTCACATTTCCTTGTATATAAAACAGATAGTCCTTCATGTGCTCTGAAATCACAGCACTGTTGTATCATGCCGATTCTGGTGCTATCTACAAACTTAGATATGGGGAAATAAAAATAATTGTTCTCTTCCAACATACAGTTATTATTGGTTTTTTTTTTTCCAACAGAAGCTGAAGGACTTACACACTTAAAACTGCTATTCAAAAAGAAACCTTTTGATTTTCTGATCCTGAACACTTCAACCTTCCTCCTATTTGAACCTTTAAAACCAGGAACTAGGAGACATTCACTACAGGCAAAAATCAGTACCACCATACTACTCTACATACTGAGCACAAGTTTGAACTTCACTGCATTTAAAAAATTAACTACTTCTTCAGTCCATATACTGTTATCACTGTAACAAGTAGCACAGAACTGCAAGAACGACTTTTCTCCCCCACATTTAACACTCTAACACAGTGGAAACGGCAGCAGTAACAACAGAGCAGCAAAATCTTATGCTACAGCAAGCAACAACTTGCACAAATATAACAGCACAGAAATAAAGGAAAGAACTTACCTTCAAAAGGCCTGTTACACAGAGACCTCCAGCAAAATACCCTCACTTCCACTGCCAACCCTTAAATGAGGGCTGGGAAAGGGTGGATCCTGGCTCCACCCTTTCCGTCACCCAGATACATTGCATGCACCTGAGCTCCTCTGGGCTGGCCTTGTCTTCCCACCATGTGCTCCATCACTGCTTCAGGCTGTGACTCAGTATTTCCGCTACACCACTTTTGTAATCATCCTCACTACACTAATTAATTCTACAATGCTGGATGTAATGGTGACTTTTTTCCCAGTATGTTCTGGATTTAACATGTTACTGCATATCTTTTTACTTATTCACTATTTTCTTTAAAAAATGCTATTACATTCTGTGTTCTTTCCTCATTACAGAAAGCTTATACTCATCATCACATCTGCTGGACTTCTTCCACGCACGTAGAGGAGAAATATTATAAGTGTGTCATGGTTTTGTGATTTGACAAAGTGAAATGTTGTTTTCAGGATGATTTGGGAAGCCAGAGGCAGTCACAAGCAACACTGACAAGTGCAAACAGCATGCCAGCTCTGAGATCTTAAGATCATTTTATCAGCTCTTGAAGCATCAGTGATTTCCTTGGTTAATCCTTCAAAGTACGCTGTAAGAACATCCATCAATAGCTTAGATCTGGCAGTTCACACTCCTGCATTATGCTACTCTTGGCACATTTCAAAGGTAGGCCCAAATATACCTAAATTTCACAGAACCACAGAGCTGCAGGGATTGGAAGGGACCTCAAGAGATCATAGAGTCCAACCCCTCTGCTAAAGCAGGTACTCTACAATACGTGGCACAAGTAGGCATCCAGCTGGGTCTTAAATATCTCCATTGAAGGAGACTCCACAACCCCCTTGTTCCAGTGCTCCATCATCCCTCTCCTAAAGGAGTTCTTCCACATGTTAGTACAGAACCTCTTGTGTTGAAGTTTTAGTCCATTAGTCCTTGTCCTATCACTATGCTCCATAAAGAAGAGACTGGCCTCATCCATTTGCCTCCAACCTCCCTTCAGGTATTTATAAACATCAGATCCCCCCTCTGTCTTCTTTTCCCCAGGCTGAACAGATCCAGGTTACTCAGCCTTTCCTCACGTGGGAGATGCTCCAGGCCCTTCGCCATCTTTGTAGCCCTCTGCTGGGGGAGGAGATCCCTGTCTTTTTTGCACTAGCGAGCCCAGAACTGGACACAACAGTCCAAATGCACCCTCAGCTCAGCAGAGTAGATGGGGAGGATCACTTCCCTCGATCTGCTGGCCACACTCTTAGTATTCAGTCACACTTCCAGAATTCAGTCAGGTCTTTTCTTTCATTTTCCATCCCATTAATCTGCAAAACCGGGAAAGTGCCTCTGGTACTGCACGTCATCCTTCCCCCAACCGTACTGATCTCAGTAAGGGCACTAGATAGCCTTTTTCCCATTCTTTTGTGTAACTCGAGCACATCAGTCGCTCGAGGACTTATTTCCGAGGGACTCCTGAGCTGTAAGACGTTGGTCACGAGCAAGAGAATAACTTAATGGCGGCCTTTCTTGCCGAAACGCGCCCGAGAAGCGCTCAGCACACCTCGTAGCGCCGCGCCTGACCGGGGCCGCGCGCGCCCGCCGCTCGCCCCGCCGAGTGGGGCGGGATAGGCGGCCGCACCGCCCTCGCGCCTGGCCGGAGCGGAAGGCTGTGCGCGCTCCCGCGGGCGGGCGGCGCGTGCGCTGCCTCCGGGAGCGCGCGGGCGCCGCGAGGAGTCGGGCGCCTGCAGCAGCGGGGGCTGGGCGTGGTTGCTAGGCGACCGCGCCCGGGCAGCGGCGTCGGCCCGGCAGAGATGAGGCGGAGGCAGCGGCCTCCGCGCTCCCGCCGGCGCTGAGCCCCACTCCCGCACCTTCCCCCGTCTTCCCCATCCCGTCCCGCCCGGGCTTTGCCGCCCCCTCCCTCCAACCCTCTTCCCTCTCCCCTCGCTCCAGTCCGTCCTTCCCCCTCCATGCGGCGGGATCGGTCGGCGTGGGGCCCGTGCCGCGGCCGCGCCGAGCCCCGCCGTCCCTCGCTTTTCCGCCGCCAGATTCCGCAAGGAGCCACGGGCGGCGTCTGCAGCGACAACAGCGGGTGAGGCCCCGGCTGAGGAAAGGGGTGGCGAGGGAAGCCGCGGGGCGGCCGGAGGAGCGGCGGCGCCCCGGCGGTGGCGAACGCCCTTTCCCGGCGCGGCGCGGGGGCTCTGCGTGTCGCGAGAGGACGGCGGGGCGCCCCCTGCTGCCCGCCGGCAGTCTCCGCGCTGGGCCGCGGTTGAGGCGCGGCCTTCCGCCGCCCGCACGTCCGGCCCGAGCCGGGTGAGCCGCTGTTCCGGCCGCGCTGCGGGCTGCGGGCGGTCGCTTGGCCTTCTGCCGCCTCTTCCCGACGGCGCCGCCGATTCCGCGTGCTCCGAGCCGCTCCGCGGGTGCTTTGCGGAGCAGACCGGCGCGGGGCCGTGCGGGGAGCTGACGTGGCCGTCCCAGCGGGGGTTTGGATCCGGGGAGTCTCTCCTCTAGGCCTTTTCTGCCGCCGTTCGCCAGCTGGGCGCAGAATCGGGGAATTTGCCTGGTTTAATTTAATGAGGGCAAAGTAGGGATTGTGAAGGCTGCGGTAGCACGCTGCTTAAGAAAGTGTTCCGTCTGTGAGCATATGAAGGGTAGCAAGAAATTTGTGTTAATAGAAGCATCGCGCTTAAATAGGGAAATTACTTTTGCAGAGGGTACCTGATGATCACTGCTCACATCCTTCCATTTTGCTTTATACAGCAAATGTGAATGATCAGAAACTGATCATTTACTACAATACAGAGGACGTTTACAGTCATATTTCTAATCAGTTCATTTGAAAACATTATTTTGCATAGCTCTTTTCTAATTATCACTTAAACCTTCGGAGACTGTATTTCACAAGACTTGTGTAATTCTTTCCCAAGTCACTAAACAATAAAATGGAATGCAAAAGCTATATTGTGTCTTTATAAGTTGATAAATGTGGATCTAAATTAATTCTGTTTAATACATGCATTATCTTTTTTGTTTTTCAATCTTCTAGTGTGTTTTAGTGATATGTACTATCATGAATGGAAAGGAAGAATAGAAAAAAGATGAAAATTCTGCTTGTTCATGAATGTATGTTCAGCAGATGGGTTGTTCTGTGTGCATGGGAGTATGCAGCATTAGCATGCGAGATCCATCTGATTTTATATGCTTAGTGTGTTCATTGATGTGGATATCTGAAGTTGTTGCTTTTGTACAGGAAGTACCTTTAATTATAGAAATACGTCTTTTAATTGCCACATACTATAAACGGTGCTACAGTACGTAGAGTTGAAAGGTAAATTTTACAAGCGTTGCAAAATAATCTTTGAGTCTAGCTGGAAAACTACGTTAGTAGGGGTGTGGAGGTAATTCTCAAACAAAACAATTTAACTGCTGTTGGAATGTGTTATTTCTTTTTTACAGTCATGTTTTCTGTATGTTGATCTTGTAACTGCTGATGTTTTCTGGACCTGTGTTCAGATGGTCTTCTAAAATGACGCTTCCTGAGTTTTGATGGAAGCCCTCCGTAAAACTTCCCAAGTCAATTTCATTTTAAAAACCTCTTTAAAAATGTATTTTAAATTAAAAAAAAAAAACTAACAGCAACTGAAATCACTAATGGAAAAGATTAGAAACAAAAGATGTTAAGAGGATGAATGAATGAACCAATGACACTTTATGTGCAGATGAACTAGTAAGAATCAAACCTTACTGTCAACTGCAGTGAATAACTTTGGCCTTTCTGCTTTTTGATCTTTTAGGATGCATTTTTCCAATGCAAAATTGTTCCACTGTAGACATCTATTACTTCCAACTTTTCCTAGCCAACTGAGCTGTCATTTTGTTAAACGTTTATAGTTGTACTATAGATCTGTGAGTAGTAATCATAAAACAAATTGCTTCCATTGCTTGCACTTTATTACCGTTTACTTCGAGAGCAAAAGCACTGGAGCTCTTTGGAACAATGAAGGCAGCAGGACGGAAGTTCAGTTATAGAAGCTAGGCTTGGAAAAGTGAAGAAAAATAATTTATTAACTCAGGAAAAGTTTCTGGGTGTTGCAAGATCATAAACTGGTTTAATATATTGATTTCATCTATTCTCATATTATAAAAAAAAATAGGCTGATACCTTGAGCTCACAAACAATGCTGAGACTACTCACTGCTTTTGATTATGGAAGCTGTTAGACATAAAGGACTTTGAAGAGCCACGTATACATGACGGGACAAGAATGCGTGTGTCTGTATGTTGTATGTATGCTTTTTTTGTAAGTTTAGTTTAAAATACTATTTTTCCAGGCATTACAAATGAGAAGTATATTTGAATAATAATATTTTACACCTGCTACTGTGTTTTGTTTGTTTGGGCTTTTTTTTTTTGTTGTTTGATAAGCTATATTTGATGTTATGACAATGCAGGAGATTCATCTGGAAATAAGAAGAACCACCCTTACAAATCTAGGATTTCTGACACCATGACACTTAGTATAGTTTGATATAATTCAGATTTAGGGAAGAAACGGGGAAGTGTGAAGCTAAGCACTATAGGATCTCTTAAGATTTAGCTTTATTGTTCTGAGATGAGCAGTTTGTTCATGAGATTAGTCATAACAAAAACTTTATTTGCTATCAGTCTCCACTCAAATACATATATTCTTTCTGTATTTAAAGTCTTCAGCTACATGTCTTTTTGTTTTAAGGATAGCTGCTTGTAATGCTATAATGTGATGGAAGGTACAGCAATAATAGTGGGGTGGCATAGTCTTTCTTTGGCTGAAGCAAATGAGGACAAGCTCAAACGCAGCAGCCGTGAATGCAGAAGGGGAAAAAAAAAAAAACTGCTTACCTTTGGAAGGTATGAGATACACAGGGATCTCCAGAGAGCTTCCCTCACCTCCTCTGCCAGCCCTTAAATGGGGTCCATGCAGGAGTGGATCCTGGCTCCATCCCTTCCATCACTCGGTACAGTGCTTGCACCTGAGCTCCCCTGGGTTGGCCCCGCCTTCCCACCAGGTGCTCCATCACTGCTTCAGGCCATGACTTATCATTCCTGCTACACTACACCTCTATTTAACTTTCTTAAATGACTTGCTTTTGACTTTGTTTGCTAGCATACTAGGTTGAATCATCGTGTCAAAAGAAAATCTAGTCTTTACATTGTTTGCTGTGTGACTCCTTTAGAATTTCATGAGGATATAGTGGTCAATGGCTTAATGTCCAGATGGAGATCAGTGATGAGTGGCATCCCTCAGGGGGTTGTGCTGGGGCTGATACTCTTTTATGTCTTCATCAACGACATCGACAGTGGTATTGAATTGCACACTCAGAAAGTTTCTGGATGACAGCATGCCTGATGTGGTTGATGTGCCTGAGTGATGGGATGCCACTCAGAGAGACCTAGACAGGCTGAGCAGTGAGCACAGGAGAACCTTGTGAGGTTCAACAAAGCTAGGTACAAAGTCTTGCAGCTTGATCATGGCAACCCCCACTATCAAAACAAGCTGGGGGTCAAAAAAAATTTAGCACAGCCTTGCCAAAAAGGACTTGGGGGTAGTGGTGGATGGTAAGCTGGACATGAATCAGCAGTGTACCCTCACAGCCTAGAGAGCCAACCATATCCTGAGCTGCATAAAAAGAAGCACGGTTGGCAGGTTGAGACAGATGATCCTGCTCCTCTACTCTGCACTGGTGAGGCCTCACTTGGAGTACTGCATTCAGATGTGGAGTCCTCAGTACAGGAAAGATATAGACATGGAATGCTAATAAGTGGGTCAGAATATCAACCTTATGTTATGACAAAGTTTAAACTTGAGTTATTTTTTTAGTAAGAGCATCCATAAGAAATGTAATGTATTTATTCCTTTAACAAGCCCACAGACATAGCCAAATCATATAAAAATGATTTTCTTAGCGTTTTTAACCATGAACCACATGAAACCGTAACCCTAATTCTCCCCTTCTCCCTCCTTTAAGGTTCTTTGCAAAGTCTTTTCTAATTGATACTTTGTCCTGGTCCATATGTAGGTCATCTGTCTTTAAAGAATGAAATATATGCTACAGCATAGGGATTTACTATTTCATTTTTGAAAGCAAAAATTTATTTTCCTTGGAGATGAACACTGCCATCACCACAGCAATGAAAGAATCTGAGATCAAAGAATAATTTAGATTGGAATGGAAGGTCATCTAATCCAACTTGCTGCTTAAAGCAGATGAATTAGTGACTTGACGTTGTTTTTACAATAACAACAGACCTGAAAACCTCCAGTTACAAGACACCATTAAAGCCTTCTTATTTATTTCTTTTTAAAATAATGCTTGATACTAACTCAATGGATTGTCTTTTTCTGCTTCTAACTCTTTGTTTAGTAGCTTCTGAAGTGGTTGATTGTGCATCAGAAAGCGTAAGTCCTACATGCTGAGTTTATCCTCCCACTTGGTGGATAGCATAGCATGCACATAAGGGTTCAGTCAATACATTGAGAACTTTAGAAACTGGAAAACCTTTGTTTTCAGATTTCTGAAAGATTGTTTTATTACTAGGTGAAATTTTTAGTTAAAGGACAACAACCACAGGGTTAGAGGTGCCCTCTAGCTATACTAGATACACCTTTCCCTTCCCCCTCAAGAAAGTCCAATAATTATTCCCAGACCCTGGATTTAGCAATGCTGCACAGTAGAGTAACCCCTCAGTGCACATTAACAGAGTATTTCTCCTATTGTTTTCTAGTTTGGCAGTAACTAAGTAAGAGCCATTGTGGTTTCTTGGGAAGCTAGTAATAAGATTTTAAAAACACTTTGTATAGTTAACAAATGTACAGTTAGAAGAGTAGTGTGGTTACGATGATATTTTACAGGTTTATAGTTAGAAAGATAATTGTGGTAGAAAGAGACAATCAAAAATAAACAAAATGCTCACCCATGTACTAGGCTCTCAGTAGAAACTCCAAAGGAAGAAATCTGCAGATTCTTCCCTAATGGCAGTTAGCCCTTAAATGGGGTCCAGGAGATGTGCAGCCAGGCTCCAACCCTTGCTGTCACACTGCTGAATTGCTTTCACCTGTGCTCCCACAGCTGACTCAGTCCTTGCCTCAAGTGATCAATCAGTGGTTCAGGCCATGACTCAACAGTTTCCATACACGCTTGAATACAGCCTATTTGATAAAGCTCCATATATAATCAGTCCAAATACTTAGTTGATTTTTTGAGAAAAACTTTGTGAACTTTCTGTTCTTGCTTGTAGCCTGAAGTAGTAGAAGAGACCTGAGAAGAAATGAAAAAGGTGCTTGAAAGAGATGTAAATTTATTATTTGTTACACTAAGCGATTACACAAGTGAGGTGTGTGAGGGAGCCTATTAGGAAAAGGCATATTTGGCTATCTTCATTCTGGTGCCAAAGTCCTGCCTATTTTGTGTCACAAAAATTCTCATAGCAGTCTTGCAAGAGAGCTTTTCGTACATCCAGAGCTTATACCAATCTGCAGCATTCTTCAGAACACAAAGGTAACAAGCAGAAGTGTATTTGAGAACTGGTGCCAGTACCAGGGCTTCTGTTATGATTGCTGTTTAAATCCAGGATTGTGTTCCTCATACAGATGTAACTTTAAAACGGTTCTCTTTGAGAATTAGATATGCTTGCCTTTTTATCTCTTTCACTCTCTTGTTTTTGTCTGTAGCCGCATCTAAAGGAGTTGACTTTAACAAAAGCAAAATTTGTTAAAAAGAGAGAGTGGATTTGAAATAAATAGCTTCATCATGACAATTACGTTGTTTTTTGTTATTCTCATTGGATGCTACATTCTCAGTCTGCTGTTTTATAAAGGAAAGCAGGACTTGAAACTTTCTGAAAGTAGGCCTCTTGTTAATTACTTTGGTTAGCTTGTCAACTCTTCTGTCAAACAGCTGAACTCCTATTCTGCCTTAAATGCTGACTTATAAATCCCTTCTATTCTCCATATTTCTCAATGAATTTTATTTAGTTACCTATATTTAAACTAAAGGTCCAAATTGACAATTTTCTCTAAAACATGCACTGCTATTGCTTTTAAAAACTCTTTTTTCCAAGGCTCCGTTATGTTAGTTCATCCTTTCATAGGTCACCTTGATGCTTACTTTGTCAGACCTCTCAGTAAGATTCCTTGAACACCTTTGGTATAAGATAGGAACTGTGAGCGTGTATCCTGACTTTCTGACAAAATGCAGTAGAATCCATCCTTGATTTTAGAATTTTCAGTGCAGTAGATATAGTAAACGAGAAGCACAAAACGATCATCGCATAGAACCTGCATGTTTGTACTGACCTTTATTTCATGTTTAGCTGCCAGTTTGCACTAAGCCTAAGGAGGTTTCACTTATCAACTCTGGTAGTAAAATGTTTCTGAAACAGACTAAAATGGTTTGTATTAGATTTTGTACATTCAACAACACAGTGTGGAGTTCTTGTAGCAGACAGGCTGTTCGTGCTGTAGAAAGCTACAAAAAACAGCTTTCTAGTGAAAGTTTTGGATCGCTCTTTTATTTTTTAAATCCCATCTAAATATTAGTAAGATATTCTATTAATTACTGCTGCAAGTGTATGGTATGGGAAGTAAATTTTTCATGTGTAGAGATATTGTGGAAGGAAAAATAATTTAATTTGTGACTAAAGATTCAACAAAGTTACATGCTTTATCATTATCAATCTTAACATGGAAATTGAACTGACTAGAGAACTCTATTTACTTGTAAACAAAATTATTGTAGTCAAGTATTTTGCAGAATTTTACAATTTTTTTTTTTTTTTTTTAAAGGAACTTCATGTTGGTGTTGTTTATGCCAGAACATAATAAGCAAGGCAAATTAGCTCCAGTCTTGTGTAAACTTCATGTAACTAGCAAACACAATGCAATTGAGTATGAAATTCAGGTGACTTTGGAAATGAAGGAAAAGTTCTGAGCTCTCTGACTGGAAGCTGAACGTGATGACGGCCTGGTCTATGGTAGGGAAACTGAAAATGGAGAAGAGGCACTCCAGAGAAGACAGAAATGTGGAACAAGATGCTGGGGAATGCAGTGCTGAATCTGAGGAATGGACGAGCTCAGAAAGTGAACCTGAGCAACCGTACTTCCGAAGCAGCTGTAGCAGTATTCCATGGAGAGAAAAAGAGGTTTCCACTAAACCACATCGGCCACTCTGTCGCTCCCCGTGCTTGGATCGCCCAAGTTTTTCACAGAGCAGTATCACACAAGACTTGAAACAAGAGGAATGCAAAACAAACTTGGACAAGGAATACCAAGCTAAAATGGATTTTGCTTTAAAGCTTGGGTATGCAGGAGATCAGATCCAGGCTGTACTGAATAAACTGGGAGCAGATGCGCTCATCAATGATGTTCTGGCAGAACTTGTGAGACTCGGTAACAAAAGTGAATCAGAGGGACAGAACAGCAGTACCACTAATACTCTGGTGCCAAGAGGTCCTTGCCCAAAGGAAATAGCAAGCCCTGAATTGTCACTTGAAGATGAAGTTGTGGATAACAGTGATAACTTGAGGCCAATTGTCATTGATGGAAGCAATGTGGCTATGAGGTGGGTCTCCCTCTTGCAACATACGAAAAGAAGAAAATGACAAAAAATATTGATGTGAAAAAACTATATTGATGCTGGGGAATTTAACTGTACTATGCTGTGTTTTGTTTTAAGTCCTTAAACAATACTGAAAAACATTAATGTCCAGAGGCGATCGAACAGGGGAGTTAAAAATAGTTTAAAATGACATTAATATATGCTGATGGTATGTGCTGGGCTTGAGAAAAGTTGAACTATTGCTGATCGAGCCTATTCAGAAGTAAAAGCAGTTTAGCAATGTCAGTACAGGGCTATGCAGGAGCTTAACCTGCTGATTCACACAGCTGTGGTACCTGTGAATTCAGATGTGCGTAAGCGCAAGGCTACTTGAGTCTTCACAACTCAAGCTGTGGTTAAGATGGATCTGTACTGGATCTTGTAAGGGATGGAGTTAACTTTCCCCACAGCAGCCCGTGCAGTGTTGTGATTTGCACTTATAACTAGAACAGCATTGATATCACACCGGTGTTTTGACTGTTGCAGAGCAGTGCTGGCACAGCAAGGCCATTTCTCCAACCCCCCAACTCCCTTGGCCAGCAGCCTGAGGGTGGGCAAAAGGTGGGGAAGGGACATCACCATTACAGCTGACATAAATAGACCAAGCAGATATTACAGACTATGATATCATGCTCAGCAACTAAAGCTCTGGGGAAGAAGGAGAAAGCCAACTGTATCCTGGGCTGCATAATAAGCAGCATGTCCAACAGGTCAAGGGAGGTGATTCTCCCTTGTGGAAGCCCACCTAGAGCATTGCATTCAGCTCTGAGTTCCCCAGCATGAGAAAGATGTGGGCTTTAAAGTGATTCTACAGGAGGGCCACAAAATGGCAGGCCTAGAACACCAGTTCTACAAAGAAAGACTGACAGAGCTTGGAGAAGGCTCCAAGAAGATCTTTCAATACATAAAGTGGGTTTATAAGGAAGATAGACTTTTTTTTTTTTTTTTTTTTTTTACAAGTATATGTAGTGATAGGACATGGGTTAATGGTTTTTATACTGAAATAGAGTAGATTTAGACTAGGCATTAAGAAGAAATTCTGTACTGTGAGGTTGGTGAAAAACTGGCACAGGCTTCCCAGATGACCCATTCCTGAAAGCATTCAAGGTAAGGTTGAATGGGCCTCTATGCAGCCTGATATAATGAGAGACATCCCTGCTCATGGCAGCACAGTTAGACTAGATGATCTTTAAAGGTCCCTTCCAACATAAACCATTCTATGATTCTGATTCTCATTATGTACACATTTATCTTCCCAAGCAATCACTATATGTATTTAGGTCCTGCTTCCTAATAAGTGGAAGAACATTGCATGCTGATGAGAAGAGATGAGAAGCATTTGCTTCTGTGCAGCCTTTGCTTTTATTTCATTGAACTCCTGTCTCAGACCCACTAGGATTTCTTTTATTTTTTTCCTCCATCTCATTTTCTCCCACCTCTTAGTAGGGTGAGTGGGAGAACAACTGCGGTACTTGCCTGCCTATTAGCATTAAGCTACACCACAAACCAAAAAGATATTTCTGTAAAGCAACATCACCAATATTGATTTTACTATTTTTTTTAATTTTTTTTTTTTTTACTGTTTATTGTATTTTCAGTCTCTGTACTGCCTGAATAACTCCCGAGCAGTGTGACAGCAGCTGGCAAAAATTGTATACTCTTATTACTGCCTACCTGTGAATACTCTGTTTATGAAATAAATTGTATATGCATTTGAAAATATAAAAGAATATTACATTCTGTGAAATCTGAAAAGGGTATAGAAAATCACTTTAGCAATGCTTTTGCATTAATAATTTAAGTTGCAAGAATTTAGAATATGCTGGTTTTCCATAGGCCTTAGTTATACTTCTAGTATTAGATACCTGACTGCCTTAACCTGTTTCAGCATTACCTTCTCCAATGTTTTGAGCCCAAGAAGAGCATGTATTCCACTGTACTCCAGTAATCTGCGATGTTTTTCTCCAATAACTGAAATTTTGACTTACAATCCATAAAATAATACTTGAGACCTCTTCAGTAAGATGCTAATCTCTTAATAATTCAGCATTCTTGTATAGGCTGAGAATACCAGAAAAGTGAAAGAATAATAAAGTTTTTGCCTTCAAAAAAGCTAGCTGCATTGAGGATGCAAATTGCAGCCTTTAAAGTAAAAAAAAAAAAAAAAAAAACCATAACTAATAGTGCGTATGTAAGAACACTTTCATTTTCAGTGTAGAAAATTCATTTTTCTTGAACGTTTTTGGGGGATGCTGCACAGAACTGACAGCTTGTATCTGGATAGTATGGCAACTGGATACTGCTACAAACAAATGCCAGTTGCTTTAATCTGTGGAAGGCATTCCTAGCATTTAGTAGAGCTACAAGAGTCTCCTTAATTACAGCCAATTGCTTGGACTACTCCCACACGGTTAGGGCATCTATAGGAAAGTCCTCTCCTGTATTTCTCACTGCTGGCTGGTTCTCTCAGTTATTTCTGGTAAGAAGTGTCATGTGGCTTTGATAGCATTCTGGAATGCTCCCTGAGGAGCCTGCTCAACCACTCTTTGAAAGCAAGGACACCGTTCCTCAATACAGCATCGCCGATCTGATTGAGTTAACGCCTTTTGCAGCAAATGGAATGATCTGAATAAATTAATATAGAAATCCTGGCAAGAATATTGAACAGCGGGGCAGCTCCAGTGCTGTGTCATAGTTGATGAAAAACTGCGGCTGTCTTGAGGAAATAGACAATTTTGAATGAAAACGTTTTAAGAAAAGTATGTCAAAGAGCATAACATTGGCTTACCAGTCTGCTCTTTTCAAATGCAATTTTAAAAGTAATTCACCTTGCTAACTAAAGAGTGACAAAGGGGACATTATTATTTTTTCTTCAGTAAGAGAGTCAAACTTATTTTTTTCCCTAAGTATTTTTTCTTCCTCAATATCACCATATAGAAACAATATATACACTCTTTTTCAGACAAAGAAAGTGTTAGCTTGAATCTAAATATGAAATCCATCCATAATGCAATCTATGTATCTTAGATATGTAGAATAAATACTAAGAACATAATATTTAATATGTCCTCTCTACAATTAACAGATGTACAGTTGGAAAAGTAGCACGGTTAGGATGGCACTTCACAGATATTACAGATTGGAAAGATTATTGTGGTGGAAAAGAGACAATCAAAGAAGAAATGCTCACCCATATCGAAGGATCTAGGCTTGCAATGGAAAGCTCCAAACAGGAGAGATCTCCAGAAAGAGATTCTTCCCCAGTGGCAGTCAGCCCTTAAATGGGGTTCAGGAGAGGTGCAGCCAGGCTCCACCCTTTCTGGTCACACTGCTGAATTGCCTTCACCTGTGTTCTCATGGCTGACTCAGTCGTTGCCTCAGGTGATCAATCAGTGGTTCAGGCTGTGACTCAACAGTTCTCATTACAGTCCTCATACATTATTCAGGCACTTCTTAACTGTTTTCTGAGAAAATTTACAATAAACTTGAAGAATTGTGTTTCATGTTTAACAAATCAACCTGTAAGGTAGACTGAATAAGATTTATAATTAAGATTCTAATTAGTATAGATACTATCAAGTATCTATTTTTTCTTTGCAAAAACTTTTAATGCCATTTATAAATGGGAATGGTATTATACAGCTGCTTCAAACACTCTCAATTCTGTACAATTGTAGAGACTCAAGCATGTTGCAGAAAACAACTTTTTGATTAGTTGGAGAAGGGAAGAAGGAGCTTGAAGAACTTTTACAGTTATTTCTCTCTAAAAGAAAGTATTTTTTAATCTAGATGTTTTGAAAGCATCTGTTCCTCATAACAGTCAGCATCACTAGTTCATTTATTTTTATTATTGCTAACTTTTTTATAGATGAGCTCAATTTTTTGCAGAAGGTGAGATTTTTTCAATAGATCAGCTAATAAAATGAAAACATAGAAAGAAAATTTTTGCAGTGTGACAGGAAGTGCAAGAATGACAGCAGAGCAGCAGAATTCCAGGCTGCAGCAAGGGAGGATTCACTTAAACACAACAGCTGTTAGCACAACAACAAAACTACCTCAGATACACAAAGACTTCCAAAGAGGTACTCCACCTCCACTGCCAGCTCTTAAATGAAGTCTGGAAGAGGTGGATCCTGGATCCACCCCTTCTGGTCACCCAGGTACATTGCATACACCTGAGCTCCCCTGGGCTGACTCTTCCTTCCCACCAGGTGCTCAATCACTGCTTCAGGCCATTATTTTGCATTTCTACTGCACTTTTGCATTAGGATTTTTCTATAACTGTTTTGTATTTGCCTGGTCTCTATAAATTCTAATTCCTTGATTTACCTACATCATGATAGCTTTAAAAGAAAAAACAACAATAAAACCTAAAGCCAAAAGTTTTATATTTGCTGTTTCTAAGTCTTCTGGTTGTTTTTTTTGTTGTTGTTGTTGTTGTTGTTTTGTTTGTTTGTTTGTTTTTTGTTGTTTGATTTTTTTTTGTTGTTGTTCTTTTTTTTTTTTTCTTCAGCCATGGAAATAAAGAAGGATTTTCCTGTCGGGGAATTCAACTAGCTGTTGATTGGTTTCTGGAAAAAGGACATAAAGATATCACTGTGTTTGTACCTGCATGGAGAAAAGAACAGTCTAGACCAGATGCACCGATTACAGGTAACAGGTCAAGATTTTCTTTGACTTTTTGTTTCAAATAAATAAATGTGTTACATTAAGACAGAACTGTGTCATTTATCTAATGAGAGCTTTGTGCTAAGCTGTGGCCATAGCGTTGCTTGCACTCAACTGAGAACAAAACAGTTTCACTGGTGAGGAACAGTTAAGTATTTGTATCTGAAAAAAAAAATAAATCTTTTTTGAAATATAACTGGATCATGTCAATGCTCTTGAGTGGAGATACAATTTTAGCAAATGTTGTTAAGCTGAGAGAAAATAATTCTTAGTTGCTGGACTAGTAGAAAATAAGTAGTATCTGACCAGGGACTCTTTTACTATCTTGAACACTGAAGAAGCAGAATATATTTTGACCCCATTTGCAGTACTTATATTTTACTCCAAGCTAACAAGAAGGCAGTAATAATTGAGTTATCATAGAATGGCCTGGGTTGAAAAGGATCTCAAAGATCATGTAGTTTCAACCCCCTGCTATGTGCAGGTCGCCAACCAGCAGACCAGGCTGCCCAGAGCCACATCCAGCCTGGCCTTGATGCCTGCAGGGATGGGGCATCCACAACCACCTTGGGCAACCTGTTCCAGTGCCTCACCACCCTCTGTGTGAAAAACTTCCTCCTAATATCTAAGCCAAACCTCCCCTGTCTCATTTTAAAACCCTTCCCTCTTGTCCTGTCACTACCTACCCTCATAAACAGCCACAGTTCCTCCTCCTTTTTATATGCTCCCTTCAAGTACTGGAAGGCCACAATGAGATTTCCCTGGAGCCTTCTCTTCTCCAACCTAAACAAGCTCAGTTCTTGACATGTGCTTTTTCTAACTGTTCCTGAACATGGCAATTTACAGAGGAGTACAGTGGTTATGAAGCTTAAATACAGGATACTTACTGCTTTGAAAGCTCAGAAATGTCATTCTCCTTCTAGGTTTTTGTTTGTTGTTGTTTTAAATGAGGATTATATATGCACATAATAACAAAATTATTTCTCAGAAAAGAGGAAAAGTTTTTAATATTTCAAGGGCTGTATTTCTTTACAAACGTTTAAAGAAGTTGCTTAAGTAAACTTATTTTACAGATCAAGAAATCTTACGGAAATTGGAGAAAGAAAAAATTCTGGTTTTCACCCCATCTCGAAGAGTTCAGGGAAGAAGAGTAGTTTGCTACGATGATCGATTCATAGTAAAGCTTGCTTTTGACTCAGATGGCATAATTGTATCAAATGACAACTATAGAGATCTTCAAAATGAAAAACCAGAATGGAAGAAGTTCATAGAGGAGCGGCTATTAATGTATTCTTTTGTGAATGATAAGTATGTTTTTTCCTTCAAAAATTAAGAGAATTTGCCAATTCTGAACCCTCAGTAAAAGCTGAAATTCTAATTTCATTTCTTTCCCATTAGATTTATGCCTCCTGATGATCCTCTAGGACGCCATGGTCCAAGCCTCGAAAATTTCTTAAGGAAAAGGCCAGTTATTCCCGAACATAAAAAACAACCGTGTCCTTATGGTAAGTGCTTAAGCCATATAGATGTGCTCTATTCAAAGGTAGGTGAAGCGAGCAATTAATTAACATTTTGTCATTAGTAGCCATCCAAGCACCATATCTTTTTTTTATGTCCATCACACACATATTAATAAAAATAATATAGCAAAAAATTAAGGCTGTCACAGCTTTTTGCTATTTTTTCTTGTTTGTATTCAATGAAAGAGATTTACAACTACACAAACTGTGTTAGGAATGTTTTGTTTTATATAGCATTGAGTATGTTGTCAGTATTGAACTCATGAATGGTAGGAAGAAAAGTGATGTGTCTTGCCCTTTATGCAGTGATATACCTGGTTACAGGTAGTAGCAGTCTGTGACTGCCTGCACATATAATTATTCTTAACAATGATAATACAGAAACATTACAATTAAGAAAAAGTGAAAGGTATGAAGAAAAAAGTAGCAGGTGGTAGTATAAATTTTTGGTTTATTTAACTTGAAATCACTTTTCTTACAGGTAAAAAGTGCACCTATGGGCACAAATGTAAATATTACCACCCAGAACGGGCAAACCAGCCTCAAAGGTCAGTAGCGGATGAGCTTCGAATAAGTGCCAAATTATCTGCTGTGAAAACAATGAGTGAGGGAGCCTTGGCTAAATGTGGCACAGGGCCCTCCAGCTCCAAAGGAGAGATCAGTTCTGAAGTGAAACGCATTGCCCCAAAGCGTCAGTCAGATCCAAGCATTAGATCAGTAGCTGTGGAGCCTGAGGAAAAGTTGACAGTAGCCCGGAAGTCCGAGGCCAACTCTGTCCCATCTCTGGTTTCTGCATTAAGTGTACCAACGCTCCCTCCACCAAAAAGCCATGCAGCTGGTGCATTAAATACTCGTTCTGCAAGCAGTCCAGTGCCAGGTTCCTCACAGTTCACGCATCAGAAATCCTCACTGGAACACATGTCCAGTGTGCAATATCCTCCAATATTAGTCACCAATAGCCATGGCACCTCAGTTAGTTACACTGACCAGTATCCCAAATATGAATCATTAGGGGACCATGGCTATTATTCCTTACTCAGTGATTTCTCCAACTTGAGCATAAGTAGTATGCATAATACAGATTATTATGGGGCTGATATGGACCAGGGGATGTATTCTAGAAACTCAAGCCCCTGTCCTGACAATTGCTTAAGCCATACAAGTAATGATTCTTATTCCTCTTACAATGACTTGTATCTGGGTGTAGCAGATGCCAGTCCAGAAGATAATGTGAAGATCCACAGACTGACATCGCAAAATCGTCTTCAGCCTTTTCCCCATGGTTACCATGAAGCCTTAAATAGAGTTCAGAGTTTTGGAACTGAAGAGCCTAAACAGTCCCTTCGCAAACAGTCTGTTTCCCACTTAGGCCTGCATGCCCAGCATCCAGTTGTTGGAGCACGGTCCAGTTGTCCAGGAGAATACCCTGTGCCTCAAAATATTCATCCATCAACTGCACAATCAAGCCGTGCCTTGGTCATGACAAGAATGGACAGTATTTCTGACTCACGGCTTTATGAAAGTAATCCTACAAGGCAGAGAAGACCACCTCTGTGTCGAGAACAGCACGCTAGTTGGGATCCGTTACCATGTGCAACTGACTCTTATACTTATCATTCATATCCACTGAGTAACAACCTTATGCAGCCATGTTATGAACCTGTAATGGTAAGAAGCATGCCTGAGAAGATGGAGCAACTGTGGAGGAATCCATGGATTGGGATATGTGGTGAGCCACGGGAACCACATATTATCCCAGAACATCAGTATCAAACATACAAGAATCTCTGCAATATCTTCCCGCCAAGCATTGTCCTTTCTGTGATGGAAAAGAATCCCCACGTGACAGATGCACAGCAGCTGGCAGCTATGATTGTTGCCAAATTAAGAACAGGGCGTTGAAATATTATAACCTCTTTTGTATAAATGAAACTATACAGCACATAGGAACTGGTAGAAAAATTATATAAAGAAGGAAGTAGGCAAATCTATTGTAAATATTTTCTAATAAGGTAGGATAAACTTCTGTACACAGTAGTTGTTGTATATGTATTGAGGCACTATTTAAGAGTTGATTGTATTGTAAATTTTAAGATTTTAAAAATAGAGATTTTTAATAGTATTTTACAGGAAATGCATACCTTGCTGCATGGATAGTTCATGAAGAACTACAATGTCACATTCAGTGTCTCAAAGCTTTTAATACAAAATTATTATTAGCAGTTATATTGCATGTATTAATGTACACTTTCAATTTGATTATAAATACCTAACTGGCCTGTCAAAGCATGCTGTATACAATCCCAGATGACTTCTAGGGTTTCAGCTTTGCCACTTGACACTGCCTATTGGTACCTCAAATATTGAAGAAAAATAACTTGACAAAAATTATTCAATTTGCAAAATGTTGAATCTCTTTCAGCTTTTGGATGTTAATATTGTTGGTATTTCTTAAATTTCAAAACTGTTCCCCATGAGTTTATTGCTGTTATTTCAATCCAACAGAAGCCAAATACTTCATTAAATTAGGACCAAAACATTAAGGAATACGAAGGCGTGCTAAAACTAAAATATGTTTTAACTGTAGCTTCCCTCTTCAGAATTGCCTGTCAGCTGTGCAGTAAGCAGCTGCTGCTCCAGGTGATTAGAGAAGATGAAAGAAAATTGTCAGTCGTGTATAAATTGGATTACTCAGACTCAAATAGCAGGAACTGAAAGTTAATGCAGAAACTCATCAGTAACTACAGCCTTTACGTGGGCAAGGATGGCATTTAACATGCAAAATGGCCATAGAAGATCAATCTATGAAAGGAGTGGGAGTGGCTGTTTCGTGAAAAGAGATGCTACAGTTCAGGTTTGTGGCTAAGCTTGCTTGGTTTTGCTCTTCAGATCCACGCAGAGGTGTGCATTTGCCTCATGAACGTTTCTAAAATTTCTGTTTCAACAAGTGAGATGATTTTGTGTGGCATTGTTTGCTCAACTGGTATTTTGCTCAGGGTGGGAACCTTTGTAGCTAAATGTCTCCAAAAGAGGCGTTTCTTGTTTTTTAAGCTGCACTGACTGAACGCCCTTTTTTGACTCCATTGTATATTTCAACATTTTGAACCATTACTAACTCGATAGTCTCGAGCTAGGACTTAATGACTTCTACTGTAGTTTTTTTCATGAAAGCTGAGAAGGCCTAGTTTATGGCCTTTTGTTTCTTCATGAGAAGGTGTGACACTGCCTAAATGTTTCTTACTGTGAAACACACGGAACGTGAGGCTGCAGTCAGGGTTGTTTCTGGTGTTTTGATAACGGCTTGCATGCTGCTTTCTCACTCTCTGTTTGTCTAAGGAACAAAACAACATCATTTCCACATTTGCTTTACTGTGTAAATGATTGGTTTGATTCACAATATTGTTCAGGCTTTTTATCATGGGCAAAATGTATTCCTACAGGTCAAAAGCAAGAAAACCATTATAGGTGCAATGACAATTAATGTACTGATAATCAATAACCATATCATTTCACACATGACAAATATTCTTCTGTTGGTACAGGAAACATAATATAATGACCATGCCATTACATATTTGAGTTAACTTGAAGGTGATTTGTGTTTACACTCAGTATTTAAAAACAGCTATGTTTTAATTAGTTGGCTATTGTCACTGTTTATAGTAAATCTTTGGATACCTAGAGTAGCTGGAGGAAACAGATTTAAACTTGACCAATATCCAGAAACATTTCTTACTAACCAACATTTTAGATTTTTAATTTGCAATTAATTCTTATTCTCTTCTCTTGCATGGTATCAAGCAGCTGAGAGCAATGCCTCAAATAACCAGAAATGACCTTTTGTTTGTTGATACAAATTGTATCTCTTTTTCTTGATTGTATAAAAACTGTTTAAAAAAACAAAAAAAAAAAACACAAAAAACCTAACAACCCATAAACCTCTAGATTAACTTCAGTATTACATGTTCACCACAATGTTTGTGACACCATGTGTCACACGGAAGTAGCCCATGAGTAATTATGATTTTGTTATTTAAAATGGGCACTTATAGTTTATAGATGAGCAAGTCAACTTGTCAGAACTGGTTTATTATGTGCACAGATACTGTGTGTACACCTCAAATACATGGTTATCTTTAGTCTATTGAGCAGATTCATCCTCGCACTAACCCTAATGTACAAGTGTTGCTGTTAACTCATCTGCAAGTGTTTAAGAAGTAACTATAATTACTGTAGACCCTGCTTTATTCTAAACACATTAATTTATAATTTATTTAGGCTTAAAATGAAGTTTATTTTGCACTCACATTTTCCATCTTGCATGGAATCGAATATTTGTATGTAAAAACGTTTGTTTTTCTCCCATTATAAAGGTAAGCTATCTTAAGAGGGCTTGGTGGGTGTTTTTGATATTTTAATGTGTGGAAGCCTGAGCAGAAGTTACTGTACGAAGCTGTGCGTGATTTATGGAGATAGTCATTTTTGTAGGACTTGTCTAGTTGTTTTCATGTTCACAAACTATTGTCTTACTGATAAAAAAGGAATTATTCTAAATGGAAAAGCTATGGTACTGCAAACACAGCATACCATTTCTGTAAGGCACTTTGAAAGAGAATTGTCTTTTTGTAAAAAGCTATTGCATCCATCCTATGTGGAGTTACTGAATGGGCAGTGTAGCCTTGTGGAAATAATTTGCAAATGTTGTGCTTGTTTAGTCCACCTTAGAGGAAATGAAACTTTTATACGTGATGTAGTCTTTCCTAATCCATAGTTAAGTGACAATTCAGATATCTGCATCTGTTCTCAGATACGTTTACAAGCCAATTCAAAACACTGACACATGAATTAATCTTCAGCGCAAAAGCTTAGATTTCTTCTTACATGGAAGAGTTGATCTTATTAACACATGATCATAGCTGTCTATATTGTAAATATAAAACTTTGTATAAATGCTCTTTCTGAGAGCATGGTATTTAGATGTTTTTAAAACTGTAAGTAAGCAGTTCTAGAAACTATATTTTAATAAAATCCAAAAGATTCTAGCTGAGGAACTGCAAAAAGAAAAAAGTGCTAAGATGGAATCTTGCAAGAAAACAGTGTACATTAGCAGAGCCAGTGCTTACTCTAGGCATTCTGAATTACTGATCTTTAGTCTTCAGCTGTATTACTTTCACATAATTTATCACTTAAGAGTGCATAATATTAAATTCTTGATTCAAAACTCAAATGCTTTATTGGAAGTCAGCCTAATTTTATGTGTTTTTGTAAGAATTACATGTTAGTAATATATTAAGTTGCACATATAGAAGATTTGACTACTGTTAGTCCTGTTGTTGTCTTATTGAGCTACAGTAGTGGGCTTTATTCATTTGTAGAATTAAACATTACTGTTTAATTGTTGTAAAATTTTATAAATCTCTTTGGGTTGTTTTGGTTGACCCAAATATAATGTAAGTCTCAATGACAAAATGAGTGAAAAATGGATGTTAAGCCAATATGTGGTATTTATAAAACACTGTAGTAAGTGTGCAAATGCTCTAGATGCAGCTGCATGGATATCATTCACTAGCATGAATCTGTTTAGCTTTTTGTAAAAGTCTTTTAAATTTAAACTCTTAAAAATAGAAAGTGGGCATATGGTTACAGAAGAATCCTCATTAAAGAAATAACAAAAAACAAAGTATCTCTTTAGGTAGGTTCTCCATATACACTTTAATGCCAGTTTGCCTCAAACTCTGTTTTTTGGCATTCTGGAATTCTTACTGATAAAGCCAGAACACGCAAAGAATAAATGTGAGCTGATAAGCCTGTTTAAAACTTGGTTGGTTGGTGGTGTGCATGCATACCTGTGACATCCACCACTTCAGGGAACACATTGTGACTGCAGTCATTCTAAAAATTCCATGCTAAAAAAGAAGGTATGAGCTTCATTTCTGTACCCATTTGCCCCACAGAAATACTGCTTTTTCTTGACTTGCCAAAAGTTAACACGAAACGTTCGTAACACAGGACTCCTATTAGCCAGATCATGAGATCTGTCATTATCATCACTACGGTTCAGCATTCAGCATCAATGCCCCTTTTATGCACCCCCATAGCAGGCTGTGTGACAGAGCCATAATAATGGTGTTCCTTGCAATACTTAAACAGGAAAAAACACAAGTTTGCTGTTACTTAAATTATTCTCATACCAGTGTTTGCTTAGCCTTTGAAGATCCATTATGCAGTCTCTATGATTTTGATCTTCGGTATTTTGCAGTTTGTAAACATACTAAAATTGAGAAGAATCTAAAATTAATATAGTCTATTACCTGTAGCCTCCCTGCTCTGTGTAGGTTTTGCACAGCTACTGAATACACATGAAATGTATACTTTATATTTACCTATATAAAACCTGCTTATTTAATAAAACTGAGAGCCACTGGATACTTTGTTTCTAGCCTTTTTTTTTTTTGCCAACCCTCTTAAGAGAGCCTCAGAAGAGCTTTTTGTCCAAAACAACTGTCACAACACATCCAGGCTATATCTCAATATTCCTTGTTGATTTACAGGAAGAATACCCAAACTGTGAAGTCATACATAATGCTCAGCTTCTGTGCTGCATAGGAAAAGGATGAGAATAAGAATGCTCCATTTTACTTGAAAAAAGCAGAGGAGAAACTGTGTTAGTTAGGTCCCACTTCCCATCAGTCTTTCTATTAAATCAGTTTTCTTCGTCTATTTCAACACCTCATCATTTCACTTTTCAGGAGGAGGATTCAAAATTACTTCAACTTTTTGGGGGAAACAAAACAGGGGAAGGAAAAAGATATAATAAAGATCACCTTTATCTGTATCTCAAGTTACTCAAACTTCTCACCACTATCATGTTTGCTTTCACAATAACCAGGAGGTTATTGTGAAATCCAGGTACTGTTATTGTGGATCCAGGTACTTCAAAAGACAAAACTATTCAAAAACATTAAAATACACATATTACAAAGTTTCTTCCACATCTCAGACCTTTATGGTTAGTCAGAACAGCCCTCACATACACTTCTACTGAGAACAAGTATTAGATTCCACAGATACTCCTTCTGTTCCAGTTTCCTCCCCAGAACTGTAACCTTTTCTTAGCCAGGAGGTCCATTGGAGAGTGACTGCTCTCATCATCCAGAAAACAAAATATTTAAGACTTGAACAGGCAGGAATAAGTTATCCTAATGATTTCACTATTGCATTCTGTGAAAGTGGTGGTCCCAAGGCCTAGCTTCCTCAGTGATTCTCATTTGCATTATTTATCCTTGCGATCCTATGTAAAGCTTCAAAATTTTTATCTCCAGTCCCTCCTAGAGCTTCCACTTGGAGGTGGTATTGCAGACAGTAGAAACCTGTCTGGAAAGGTAAATTTACAGAGGGGAGAAGGCAGACTCGAGCAGTTCTGCCCAAAGCAAAGGGAAAAGTTAAGCACTGAAAGAATACATCAACACTGCCTTTCTTAGTCCCCTCTCAGAACACATTTCTAGTAAGCAAACTAATTAGCATGCTGAAAAAGAAATTTTACTGAGAGTGCCTTTATCAAGGGAGGAAAAGTTGCATATAGCATGGTATTTGTTAGCATGCTTTCCTTTTTTGAACTCTTAAAGAGATACAAAAAACATGCAAACAAAAGTATAAATAACAATGTTAGCATCTAATGAGAACGTTAACTATAAGGAATTAAAAAGATGCCATTTCACAACGCTGCACTGACACTTTCTTATTTCTGTTTAGTTTTTTAACTATTGCAAGTTATTAGACTGACTCAGAGAAAAGTTCTGTCTTAAACTCCTGGAAGATACACTCCAACAAATCACTAGAGAAGTCTTGAAATAAAAGTGCTTCAACTCCTAATTTTTTGACAAGTAATTGTAGAAGTTGCTAAGTTACAAGAACATTTAATACAAGTAAAAAAAACTGAATTCAGGGAAAAAAAGCTGAAAATGCTTCTTCTCATCAATTATCTCAAATGGCAACCAAGTCAATTTCCACATGCTAGCTAATTATGCTAGCTTTGCAGCAAAGAGAGACTCTTCAACCTCAGGAAAGTCATGAGAAGAAATAACATCAGACAGAAAACTTACCTTCATTTGAAATCCTAGCTAGATGAAAACTGTAGCACGACCTTATGCTGGCTAAATAATCAAACTCATAAATGACAATACCAGTGTCACTGAAAGGGAAGGGCTCCCAGTATTATGACCAATGGGAACCAGCAGACCTCTTCCAGAATATCCAAAAGAAAAACAGAATCCAGAAAGAATGTTTGCCTTCAGTTAGTGATATTTATTAACCATAGAAAAAATTAAAGGGATTCCAAAGAGTATTGGCTGTATTTCACAAACATCAGCTAGAGCTCAAAGTTCTTGACAGTGGTTAAGCAGACAATAGCCACTACAAACAGAACAACATGCTTGCAAAATTGTGATTTTATACAGTAAAAAGTAATAAATCCTCATGGAAAAAAAATCCTGGGAGTGGCTACTTCCCAACCACCATTACAAGTTCCTCTGTCACTTATCTTGCACAACACTGAAAGCTGCAGAGCAATTTTCAGTCTTAGAAAAGTTGAAGGCCACTTTTTATTTTGTTCAAGTCGTTCTGGGTCCACAATAATCCTCCTGTCACAGGAACATTTAATTCAGCAGAGCTGTGAGAAAAAGAGAAAAACAAACAAGCACTGAGCTCTATCAGCCAAGTAATTTTGATAGCATGTTTAACTTACAAAATGTCATTTTTCATTTTTAGCTCTGAACATCTACCTACTGGAACATCTTTAGTTTTTAAGCAGCTCATTCATGAGAAGGCACAATCTAAGGTAACACAGATACCAATGCACAAACCAAATGAAAGACTACCACTTGCTAACTAATGTGAGGGAGCCATGATTCCAGAAATAACCACACATCAATTTTCATCTGAACTGTCATCTGCCATGTAGGAATAATCAGGAGAAAGCATGCTAACACAGCAATTAGGCAACATAGAAATAGCCTGTCATGAACTACAAATGTTATAATGCTCTTACATTTCGTCAAGAAATTAGCCATTCCTGTAGCTTAACAAAGAAGTCACAGAAACCAGAGCCTAAGGGCAGTTATAGTTTGGTGTTACACCCAGCATGCGAAGTCATTTCCAGTTTTAGAAGGTCGTTCATCCTTAAACAGGCATAAAATCTCTTCCTTGCAAGAGTTACCAGTTAGGATTGGGTTTCACAGATGCCAATGACTCACTAACACCACCACACAAAGGAACAATTATTTTTCCACAGCATTCCCAGGCACAAGGCACTCTTAAGCACAAAATGCAAAGAGCAGGTGAAGAACAAAAGGTAAGCCATTCCCTACCCAAAGCTTTTCTATGCACAGCAACTTAAACCATGACTTGGTTGTTACATGGGTCAGATAAGGGTTTGCTTTATTATTTTTGTCTTATGAGAATGGAGAAAATGAAAGCTAAAATTTAACAATAAAGTATTTTTTAAAGGATTTACTTCAAACCTGATGTCTGCCAAGGAGGAAGAAAAAAGGGAAAAATCTTCTCATCCTCTCCATACTTTTCATATACACCCAAGGAGAGCTCATGCTGCCCTTGCTACAGCCTAGCATTCTCCAGGATATGATTATATTCCCTTTCCACTCATCTTTACCCTTCAGCACATATTACCCCTTTCATCTACCCACTTACACATCTCATTTTAAGGACAAAAAAATCCAGCCATTACCCATGACCATTGAATGATTAATGCAATTTCTGAAACATCAGTAAAAACCTCTCAATTCAATCCCTGAAGCCATTGCTTGTCACCAGTCTCTACCCTTAGAAAACAGTCATTTCCAACAGCAACTTTGTCCCTACCATCAAGTAGCACTGACACTTGGAGTAAAAGGGCACAAGAGCTTACCACAAAAAAAAAAATCCACATGAGAATGACAGCAGCTATTCAAAGCTTCAGACATTGCTGCAGTAACCAACCCTATAGGAACCCTGAGCACAAACTCTGAACACCAGAAAAACCATGAAAGAACACAATCTTTTGTATCCAGAAAAGAAGGACCTGCAAGTTTTTCCAAAGTATCAAAGCATCACAGGAATTTGTTTCATGTTAAACCAAAATCAAATCACAAAATTACATGATATTTCTGCAAACAAGACTGAGTTCTTCGGAAAGTTTTATTTACAAAATAATTTAAGGCTATACAGTAAAAAACTCAATGCCTTTTCCAAATGATCAGTACTGGAATAACGGCAATACAGCAGAAGCTGCTGCTCAGAGATGCACAGACAGTTTCTCCTTCAGGGTCAAAATACCTCCTAGACACCATTTGCTCAAATGAAACATTGCCAAGAGCCTTGTTAAAAAAAAATTGAGCACAGAAACATCACAGATGTCACACCCAGAAATAAAGACTTGATGTTGTCAGGCTGCTGGAAGCTACCCAGCATTCAGCCTGCTAATGGGATAGTTTTTCCTCCCTTGTGACTCCTAATCCTCATTACTCTTGACTTCACCCATGTCATTCCTAGGGCAGAGACTCGGGACACTGACATAATTCCCTGCCTCTAAAATGTACTGCATGAAAGTAGCCAAGAACAAGCTCATCACAGCAGAGCAACTGCTTTTCAGGAATGATGAAATTAGGCTGCTGCCAAAGAGGGTAACAAATTTCTTTCTTGCAATGGAGAAAGTGCTTTTTCCATAATCAGTGCTACTTTGTCCTCCATGGACAAAAAAACCACACTTTTTTCCTCGAAGGATATATCTGCAAAGACAGCATCAAAATTCACTGGGTTTGGCTGGACTGAGATAGGTTGAAAGTTATTTTGCTTTTTTTGAGAATCAAGCTATTCTGTTTTGGAAACAGCAAGCTTATCTTATTTCTGTAAAGTGGCTGATCTAGATACTACTTAAGACTCTAGCTGGAGTGTTATAACTTGAGCATTCTTTAATAGCAGTGCTGGATGTGTGAGGCATACTGTCCTCCTATTACACATACCTCGCACAAAAAGGTCTTTAGTTCATCTACAGGCAGAAGTCTTCTCAGAGTACATACATATTTCATCCAGAGACTCCTGAAGCCTCATCTATTCAGATACAAAGCCTGGCAGAATCTCCCTTGCCTGCTCAGTACGAAGACAGTGACCCTTCCCATTACCTAAACAAACTACACAGACTCACATATCAGTCACAAACATCTTGTATCAGTCTTTTGCAAGATCTGATGGCAAACCAGAGAAACTGCACAAATCTACCAGAGGCCAAACTGCAACAAAGAACAAGCAAAAAGGAGCAGGGTAAGAACAAGTCATGACATATCTGACACCCTTGTGGAAAATAAGAAAGGCTTGTGGATGCTGAGGCTCTTTCTTTAATCTCAGAAAATAGAAAAATGTGCCTTCCTTGAACCTCCAGAACAACAGTAAAAACAGAAGTGAAACGCATGAGTTGAGACAGGCTTTTGACTGTCTCTCAATATTGGGTTCATCTTTAAAAGGTAAGAGAGGTTGCCAGTAATATAGGTTGATTTGTTTAGCAACAGGGATTAGAACATTAGTTTAAGAACCATGAGCTTAGCAAAAGAAATCCACAAGCGACAGTTCTAAAGCTTCCCATTTCAGCTCTAGTGGTTAAACAGTCTTGTTTTTCCCCAATAATTTTGCACTGAGGACATAACTTTTGTCTTCTGCCTCAATGATTTTGCCTCATGAGAAGTACTGGAGTCACAATACTTTTATCTTTTGCCTCAAAACACACAGGGCCATTTTCCTCCAGTTCCACATACATTGTTTTTAAAGAAGTGGCTCACTATGGCCTAATAAGCAATGGAAGTCTTCCAAAATGGGGAAGAGAGGATGGAAGTGGGTTAAATGTTTCAGTGATGAAGTGGATGGTGAAAAAAAGGGAAGAAGTAGGTGGGCTCTTGGCCACCCTAGATACCATTGAGCATGCCCAAAGGGACATTAGCACACATCTGCCAGTCCTTGAAAAAGAATGAATATGTACACTAATGAACTGCATATGTATGTCTGAGCTGCTCAAACACAGAACCTGAACTCTGAGGGGGTGCACTTGCCTGTCAAGTTGCCCAGTAGGTATGGTGACGATTAAGGAACACCACTTTCTAACACCACAATGGAATTAAGACAGTTTTTTTGCTGGATTTCTGATGACACCAGCTGAAGCCTATTTTCACAGGATTCATAGGAATTATACAGTAAGAAGTACAAACCTCAAACAAGGGCAAGCAGAATTCAGCAGATGTAACATAGGTTAAACACATCGTAAGATTACTAAAATGCTCCATTCTCATCTGTGGACTTGGTGAGTTAGGGCTGCAGAAAAAAGTTGCTTCTGCTACATAATTTACATAATTTGTCCTTTTTTCAAACCCTTTTTTCAGATTTTCTAGGAAACTCTGAATGCACTTCATTACCTTGATTTGCTGCAAGTCTGTGGAGCCAAAGATATAGATGGCCCTGACTTTTAGGAAGTGCACGTCCTGTTGCTTATGTTGCAGATGTTTTTTCCCAGCATTTTACAGATAATTTCAAAGCACGAGATCTAGACAGTTGCAGGGTCTGATCAGCCAACATCAGAGACAGAATTCTACTTTGATAGAGCATTTCTGCTTTTGATCCACTTGTCTGCTGTCAGGTGTAGAAAAACCTCAGCCACAGGAGGGAAAGGACAACATGACAGTTGATAAATCATGTGAACTCTACCACTTACTGAAAATAATGATCCCCACAACTTGAATGCTTCCATGTTTGCTCTCCAAGTAGACAGAACTAGATGACTGAGGAAACAGCACAAAACCAGTAAGAAACAATAAAATGTAAGCATTGAAAAATTTGTTTTTTTCTCCTAATCCCATGCCCTTTGTGGTTAATTTGTACATCCTCAAACATACTACTGAAAAGCAGTACTAATAACATTCCAAAAGACAGTGTTAACTGTTCATACAGATGCCTCAAACTTTTTTGGACAAAAATGGTTAAAATGCAGAGACATTTCTCAGGTCATACGTTATTACTGAAACTGCTTTGGCAGTTTATTCCTATTCTCACTTTTCACTGAGAAAGCAGGAAGAAAAGCAGGCACAGATCTTCTCAAAGAACCACTGAGGTTGAAAGGAACCTCAAGAGTCTCTAAAGGCAATCACTTTGGTTGGGTCATCTAAAACACACTGTCCCAAGACAACATCCAAGTGGATTTTAAATAACTCCAAAGATGGAGACCCCAGAAGTTATCTAGATAAATTATTCCAGCATTAAATACCCTTAAAATTCAGAATGACCCAGCTGAAACAATTTACTGGCAACTAAACTAGCGTACACTTCTTTTTAAGGACAGGAAATGTCATCTTCATGCCCTCTCTCCCACTCTTAGAGGACTCTTTTTTATGATTCAAATTTGTTCCAGGCTTTTCAAAGGACTTAACCCTATGACTGTGCTGAGATTCAGTTTCTAGAAAAAAATAGTATGCTAAACCAGGTCACTGCATACTTCTAATGCTATTATATTTCTATTGTTTTTAAAGGAAATCTTCAAATGAACAAATTGAGGCTCTTCTTTCTTCCATTGGGGAGTTCTACTGTGAAGTTCTGTGCATAACTACCGTTAATGATCTTCAGTGGTTTCAGCTGAGAGTCAGCCCATGCCTATGAGCATGAGCTTAAATCATGCTCAACACTGCATTAAAGTACACTTATTCACTGATTACTGTCAACCAATGGTTTGCTCTTAAGGGAAGGGGAAAAATAATCACATGCAGTAACATTTAAGACATTGCTTAGAACAGAACTTGCTAGATGCCCCTTAAATTTCAGCAGTGAAGTTTTTTTCCCTCTGTAGCCATTTCATCATCCATTTTGTTTCATATTTAAGTACGAAGAAAAAGCATCTAGTAATCTATGCGTAAGACTATTTTCAAGATAATATAAAAAGAGCCCACAGCAAGAAGAAATTATGACTTCTACTACTTTAAGTGTCCAGGTTAACACCTTCACAGTACTTTTGATTTGCTTGTCTTGCTGCTACCAGTAGAACTCTCAGGTTAGCAAGACAATTCCTTATATACCTACTTTATAAATTGCTTTATATTTCTCTGCAGTAAGAATTCAAAAAGAAATTTTATGCTACATGGGCCAGGCAACACACTTTCTGCAAGTCTGCAATGCAGCAATTAGTGGGGGCTCATTCTGCTTCTGTAACAATCAAAGCACTGCACTGCAGCACAAATCAGCTCTTATGTCATTTCTTCTGGAAGTCTACTGCGTTCTGCATCTAACTCTCCCTCTTCCTGCTTTATTTATGTGGAATGCAGGGAGAACAGAACACCATATGTAAAAAAAAAATAAATGACACCCTCACTTTTTATTGCAAGATGCTTAGTGCTGGCTCAGGCTTTTTCTTCCCCCTAAAGTAAGGTTTATAAAACAGCTTGTGTAATCAGTTTCACCAGTGGCTAGTTCCATGGCAACATCAGCAAAAGCTCTTAGCAAAGCATCACCATACTAATCCCACCCTCCTTAGCTGGACAGAAAGGGCTCACGTTCTCCACAGCAATCTACTACTTTGCACTATAAAATAAAAAGGCACGATCTCCTAATCATAAAAATATAAACTACACCAACCACTGTCACAAGTTTCTTAATGTCACCAACCTGTTTCTCCATATACACACCAAAAAATTAAGCATTGCCTATAAGAAACTAGAAAAAAAACAGAACACGTCCATCCAACTATCCATTTGTAGATCCTAAAAGAAGTGCTTTGGCACATGTGAACAAAAGTTTGCCTCTTCCAAGAACAGAAGAGCTGTGTGCCTTAGAAGCATTTCTGATCTGGTTACTGGAAGAGTATTCTCCAACTCAAGGTAAAGGCCAAGGTCAGGTTGAAATTCATACATTTCACTTAAGCACAGGAACCTTTTAGAAATTATCAAAAGGCTGACAGTTCTCCTAATAGCAACATTCTTTGCTTTTATGTGTACATACCTACAGTAAATAGACTACTATGCCATTACATTGGCACTAAAAGGATCCTTCCTAACACATTACTTGAAAGATGCACAGAAGAGCAGTCAGATATTAGGAATACTGATAAGTATTTTTGTCAAACTATTATAGAAGTAACAGTCTGAAAACTAGTCCTGATTTTACACACTGTAGTAAAAGGCATAGATAAATAAATACATTTCACAGTTAAGGGACAGAGTTCTGCCCACACCATTACTCACTTTGTAGTGGAAGACTTCCACTCATCTTTCATTGGCTGATCAAGCAGAGACATCATGGAGTAATTATCCAACATGAGACCATCAGGGTCATCTGTCTGACCTGGGAGTTTCCCAAGAGGAAAATCCTTCCATTGCACTTCATCTGAGTAAAAACACAGTACATAAAGTAGAAGTCAAAGCTAACCAGATAGACTTTCAAAAAGCAAGACTCACTTCAAATCTGACAGTATTGCCTCATGCAACTCAGCAAAAATGAATAATCTCAGGTACTCAGAAAAATAGTAAATCTGAACTACAGTTCTAATTGATTTCCTTTATAAACTTATCTCTTTCAAAGAAAGTCACTGTAGCATGTGACACATTAGGAACGCATCTGGAGTCAGGTAATATCACACATTCATGCAGCACTTCTTATCCAAACAACTGTGAGACAACGTCCATTAAAAGAATCCTCAGATTATTCCAGAGCAAACCATACTGGAGGGATGTGGATTTGATGGGTGGACCACTCGATGGATAAGAAACTGGTGGAAAGGCCGCAGACAGAGGGTGGTCATCAATGGCTCCATGTCCAGGTGGAGGCCAGTAACGAGCAGCAGCCACCAGGAGTCTGTCTTGGGACTGGGGCTCTGTAACATCTTTATCAATGACATCGATGGCGGAATCGAGTGCACCCTCAGCAAGTTTGCTGACAACACCAAGCTGAGTGGTGCAATCGACACAGTTGAAGGAAGGAATGCCATTCAGAGGGACCTCGAGAGGCTAGAAAGGTGGGCTTGGGTGAACCTGATGAGGTTCAGCACAGCAAAGTGCAGAGTTTTGCACTTGGGCCAGAGGAATCCCAGGCATCCATACAGACTGGAAGGAGCGGTCCTTGAGAGCAGCCCTGTGGAGAAGGACCTGGGGGTCTTGATAGATGAAAAACTTAACATGAGCCAGCAGTGTGCCCTCGCGGCTCGGAAGGCAAATGCTATCCTGGCCTCCATCAGCAGAGGGGTGGCCAGCAGGGACAGGGAGGTGACTGTTTCCCTCTACTCTGCTCTTGTGAGGCCCCATCTGGAGTACTGCATCCAAGTGTGGAGCCCCCAGTACAAAAAAAGACAGGGAGCTGCTGGAGAGGGTCCAGAGGAGAGCCACAGAGATGATCAGGGGACTGGAGCACCTCCCCTATGAAGACAGGCTGAGGGAGCTGGGCTTGTTCAGCATGGAGAAAAGAAGGCTGCGGGGTGACCTCATTGCAGCATTTCCATACCCAAAGGGAGCCTACAACTCTTTGAAAGGGTAGATAACTGCAGGACAAGGGGAAATGGTTTTAAGTTGAGGGAGGGAAGATTTAGGTTGGACATCAGGGGGAAGTTCTTTACAGAGAGAGTACTGAGGTGCTGGAACAGGCTGCCCAGAAAGGCTGTGGATGCCCCATCCATCCCTGAAAGTATTCACGGCCAGGTTGATGGGGCCCTGGGCAGCCTGGTCTAGCATTAAATAGGGAGGTTGGTGGCCTCGCATGTGGCAGGGGGGTTGGAGATTCATGATCCTTGAGGTCCCTGCCAACCCTGGCCAGGTTGTGATTCTGTGATACTATTTCCTCTATCCTTTAAAGATACTTTTGTTTGAAACTGACATACTGATTTCCACATACCAACTTAAAAGTAGTAACAACGCGCCTTTGGAAAAAAAACAGTATTTTAAGAGCTTTTAGGGAGAGATGGTATTTGCACATAAAAGATAGACTGGATAAAGCAATTATCAGGGATTTGGAATATCAAGTCTTATGAAATCATTTTTTACCTGCAACAATCTGCCAGGCAGACCCTTGCAGCTTTGCCTTTTTCTCAGCAATAGCCACCATGATATTAGAATGAGCAAGTCCTCCCAAATGATTTGTTTCAGTTATCTCTTCTTCCTCCTCCTCTACTTCCTCTACACCATCATCTCTTTCTTGTACATCATCTTGTTTCTCTATAGTCTGCCCTTCATTTTTGATCTGATTTTCTAGCCTAGCCCACTGTAGGCTCTCTATAGTGTAAACTGGCTGTTTGCCACAGTCCGAAGAGAGGCCTGGAGTGGACAAAGGGCCACCTTCTTCCGTGTAAATGGATGTAAGATAAAGAAGATTCTTTCGTGAAGAACGTGGCAAACGAGGTCTCATGCTTGTGAGGATCCTAGAAAGAAAAGGAGCAATATAAGTCTTAAAATCAAAAAAGATTCCAGATAAGTCTATCAAGCAGAGCAGCCTTTTAAGCTTCCTCTAAGACAGAGATTCTTATCTCCACTAAGAGGCAAATCTGATTATTCCTACAGGATGCTGGAATACACCCTCTGTGATTAAAATTAAGGACTTAGGATACTTTTAACTGAATTTTTGCTTTGCTGTTCTCACGTGAACAAGCTGCCACATGCTAAAATCCATACCATCCACATAAGCAATCACCTCTCTGCTGCTACCACTTTTCATCTAGCTAGGCTATTTATGATCTCCCAAGGCAATTTTCACTTTCATTTTGAAGGCACAGTTCTTTTAACTTGTCCTCCATCTCTTTGCAGAATCTCCAGGGGAGATGAGCAGCAACAAGTGGGGTTTCACATCTGCCATGATTTCTGCTAGATGCAAAGGCAGGGAAAGGAACACAGCCATAACTCATCATAACACAGGAGATCTGACCAAAGCTGTTACAAAGTGCTGTTTGCTGTCCCTTTTCTAGATCACAGAATCAAACTTACAGCTGAAGGAGGTGTGGGGTTGCCCAGCAGGGAGCTTCCAAGCAGTTATCAGTCAGTCTTACCCACTGCAAAGGAACTTTTCGAAGGAACAATTCCTTCATGTATGCTTGTTTGTTACAGCGACGTCTTTTCTTCCCTTCAAAGAGAAATACAATGCTGTCAAATTTCATAAAAACACACACATCATCCCCATGCCTTTTTACTGGATGATTACTGGAGCTCTTATCCTCAAAGAAGCTGGCACTCTAATTAAAGACCAAGACCAGATATGCTGACCAAGGACGTCAAGACCATTATAAGGGACTTGCCAATACACTAACAGCTAAATTAGCTTCACAATATGTGGCAACAATGGAGGGGAAGAGTTTCCCAAGCTTATTCTGCATATACCATCCCACATAATCACAGAAACACCAAAGCTAGAAAAGACCTACAAGATCATCCAAGTCCAACCATCCACCTATCACCAATAGTACTCACTAAACCATGTCCCTCAACACGAAATCCAAACATTCCTTGAACACCTCCCTGAGCAGCCCATTCCAGTGCCTGACCACTCTTTCAGAAAAGTAGTATTTTCTACCATCCAGCCTAAATCTCCCCTGGTGCAGCTTGAAGCCATTCCCTCTAGTCCTGTCACCAGTTACACAAGAAGAGGCCGATCCCCAGCTCACTATAACCTCCCTTCAGGTAGTTATAGAGAGCAATAAGGTCTTCCCTGAGCCTCCTCTTCTCCAGACTGCACAATCCCAGCTCCTCATAAGGCCTGTGCTCCAGACTTTGCACCAGCTTTGCTACCCTATATCCCAAACAGGCAAGCTACAGACCTGTGTTAGTACAGCACTGTTATCTCTTACTGTTCACTCCTGCAAGTACTGGACTGATCTTTCATAGGAGAGACTGTATTTTCACATCTTGAGGAAGCCACAGTTATATTGCAAGAAAAATAATAGTTTCAAACTATTGCTAAGAAACGCATGACAGACATTATGCTGCAGGTTAAAAAAAGTATCAGAAATGCAATGATGAAAGCGGTTAATATGAAAAATGTAATTATGTTATTACATTTACAATTTAAAGGACTCATATCACTCTCTTTATTCCTATAGTGGCACAGAAGAGATGCCTACTTTGTTTTGAAATTGCAGACATACTCACCACTGTTAACTCTAGCAATGCTAGTCAGCATCTCAGAAATCCAGTTGATCAGGAATTGAGACTGGAGATCTGAAGAGTCAGAACATTCCTTCAACTTCATAAACATTTTGTCTATTAGGGTCTGTGTAAAACTTCGGGAAAGAATGCTTGTCAGCAAGGGCTGCCAAAAGCAGTAAAATGTCTGAGGAATTTTGAACTGCCATACCTCTTTATTTGCTGCAATAATACATGGGGAAAAAAAAAAAGAAGCCAAAAATCACTGTTTTGTTTTTTTTTGTGAGCTGTTGGTGCGACTTTGTCTCAAAATAAAGTAGTTTACACTCATATTACCATTTTGTTTCTTTTTTTTCTGGGATCATCACTGAATGCACAGCTATTATTTTCTTTTGTTAGTAAACTAAGGTAAGCAAACCAACAACAAACAGGATACTCCAACAACAGCAAAAAATACAATGGTAAACCACAGGAACATCTACCTCTGCTTTACTGATTTCTTGCCAGTTTAAGTCTATTTCACACATAACAAAGAACTACTTTGTCTCAGAATAACTTAGCAAACCAACACAGAATCAAGAAACTCCTAGAAGTTTGCTACTGTAACATAGCCACAGAAGTTTGAGATCATTCTTGGAAAGTATTTTGGCTGGTGTTGAGGTATGTCTTCAGGAAGATAAACAATTGGTTAATTTTCATTGCGCCTTAATTCTTTTGCAGAAAACCCACGCAACTCCATCCAAGTGGATAGCAGCATGTAACTACAATGCACTTAAAGTGACACTCAAAAAATATATATACATATATCAGTTTCATATCTTCAGTGTAGAAAAGTGACTAGAGAGAGCTGATTAAATAAGTAACTCTTGTGGATATGGGCAGAGAAGCAAGCAGTATTCAGTGCTGAAGAGTTATGCTTCCCTAACAAAGATTATGTAAAAGAAATAGCTAAGCATGTCCATAAAGGAGTCTACAGAACAGCTCAAAGATGTTTAAGGACACAGACAAAAAAAATTATGCAGAGAATTACAGATTTCAAGATAATGATGAAAAAGAACAGAACTGGCTGTAATACTGGCTATGCACTTTTTACACAAGTTATGTGGTTCCCAAAAAGAACTCACCTTCATACTTTATATTTAACATCTTCAGACAATCCATTGTTGGAATGAGAAAGCCATCACTGAGAAGAACTTCAGCCACTGTCTCCCTAGAACAACCACAGAGTCTAATTGATGCCATTTAGTCCTTCACATATCAAAACACCACTTGCACCAGTTCTGGAACATGTTCATAAGCCAACTATGACTACAGTGGAGTAGCTTGTTTTAAGGCATTACAACCTGCTGGTTTTGTGTTGGATATGCCCCAATGAGACTTGGAAAGATGTCCTGGTTTCAGCTAGGATATTTTGGCTCTAGAGGAAAAATAATATTGATAACACACCAGTGTTTCTAATTGTTGTTGAGCAGTGCTGTACAGAGCTAATGAGATTTCAGTTACTCAACTTCTTGTACTGTTGCACCTATGAGGGCCAAAGAGGCACAATTTGTGAGGGTACAGACCAGGACAAATGACCTAAAATGATCAAAGGGATATTCCATTCCATATCACAGCATGCAAAAAAAAACCCTACACTTGAAGATGGGGGGGGAAGTTGATCAAGCAGCCTGCTGCTACTTGAGGACTAGCTGAGCAACAGTTGGTGGGTGGTAAGCAATTCCTTGTGCAATAATTATTTGTATACATAATTTACTGTAACTACTATCCTTCTCCCCCCTCTTTTTTAACTATCTTAGTAAATAGTTCTTATCTCAACACTCAAGCTTTACTTTGTCTTTTTTTCTGATTCTCTCCCTCATACCATCAGTGTATTTATGTTGCCATATAAATATCAGCGAAATCTCATATGACAGTCTCAATTTCAATACAGCTGATATGATGTTACTAACAAATAGAAGTGGTAAATATAGGAACCTTTCTGGTAGCTGCTTTTAATCATTCTGAGGTCTGAAAGAAAATGCGTACATGGTTACAAAAAAACTTGAACACAGGCACAGCTTTCCACTGACTATAAACAGATCAGCTTGTGTTCTTTAAAAGTCCAGCACCTGGATGCTGGAATAAAAAAAATAGCTTAAGTAGGTGCTCAAGGATGAAGTATGGGAGCAGGAGAAATCTTATGGCTTGCTCTAGCAGCCTGAGGCTTTTAAACAGCTTTTATATCTCCCTCCATATGAGAGAGTATGCTTCCGATTTTCCTGACTGTATGTCATACTCAGCCAGCTCAAATTACTCATTGGAATTTAGCATTTGTCAGTAACAACATGCACTACACTAGCTTACATGAAGCACTTAAATGCTTTGTTCAGATGTAACATGCCATTTGAACTGCTACCACTCTGTGAGAAGCACAGCGCAAGTCTTTAAGCAGCAGAGGGCTTCAATAGGAAATTTGTAATTTACAGCTATCCCAAAATATTTTGGTAAGTAGGTCTTTCGGAAATACACGAAAAATCAAATCCTTTGAACTGAATTACCAGCTTGGAAGGACACAGGCATACACACTGCAAAACCAACACTGAAGTACCTTAACTACTCAGCCCCAATAACAGTTTTCCAAAATAAAAGATCCTACATGCAGGTGTTTTTTGATGATATAAACAGAAGCCATTTGTCAACACATTACAACACACAGATTTCTTCCAAGCTAAAAGTGGAGTTGAGGTTGGGATGTTACTTTTCAACTGTTCTGTACATCTGCCAGACTAAAGCTTCTGTACAAACAGTCATGCATAAAAGCCTGCCAAATTCTAGTTACACCACCCTGAACAGAACAACATTCCACAGGAGTAGATTCAAGCAGCTTAAAGACACATCTAAATTCAAGCCTGTTAAATCATTACAGAGGTGCAAAACTAATCGCAGAGAAGCAAGCTTGCTTGCGGACTGGCCCGATAACACCACAAGCAGGCCAACACAGATTCGTCCCACCACACTACTTTCAAAAGTATTTGCTATTTGCTAATTCCTTCAGAAGTGAGGAACCAGCCTTATCAGCAGAGAAGCTAGTTATCACAAGCTGTGACAACTTCAAGCACAACATCTGATAGCTTCTTAAATTAACCATCAGCTTGTATGACATACATGTTTACATTAAAAGCACTAGGAGTTTCTAACTTGATTGTCTCTCCCCTCTAAAGATACACTGATTGTGTTTCTCAGACTGGGACAGAAACTTCATGCAATTTTATACAGCAATAATAAAGTGTCAACATCCTGGGTCCCAGAGGCCTCGTAGTGGTAGAAGACTATAAAGTATAGAAGAAGCAAATACTACTGTGCAATTTTGAAAAATTCTGAAGGTTACTGTGATATTAAAGTTTATGTAAGGTTCTTAGGAGAGCTTTTGAATAATGAAGATGCTGACATACCCCAGGGTCAGAACAGCTAAGACACAGAACACACCACATGCCTTTAAGACCACATGGCACAGGAAACATTCATTATGAGAGATTAATAACTCAGTGCTCAAAGGCTTTGAGGCAATTAACAAATTGCTTTTTTAAGGAACAGCTGAACACCACAGTAAACAGGTAGTACAAAAGGTCTACAGGTGCAGCTTCACACTCTTTCATCTCAGTTAATTTTCAGAGACATACCTGTTCTCCTGCATTAAGTCTTTGATCTGAGCCAGAATCCAGTCCACTTCTGAAGAAGAATTAGACCACAGTTCTCGAGATTTTGAAACAGACTGGACTGCCTGCATAACCTGAGTGAAGGAAAAGTCCAAGCATTAATGGGAGCCTGCACTGACCCTAATTCCAAAAGCAGTCCCATTCCTTTGTCTTAACAGCTCAGTGAGGTGGATTCACACTAGTTGTGGCCTCTGAAACAGTCCTATTTTTGGATCTTACTGTTGCCTCCATTTCATTTCCAAGAAAACAACTAATACGAAATTACTAACTATTACCTTTGCTCACTACACATTCTTCTCTTCCTTCCAGCCAGAAGGACTCACATGCAAGAAATAAGGCAAGAAATAAGGTTGTCGAACAGCACACACAGTGTCAGAACAGCTAACTGGTATGGCTTTAGCAAATATTTTATTAAAATACAGATCCACTCTAAAAATAAGCAATATATCACATCCATGAATACAACGCAGTAGCAGTACAGAAATAAGCTTATCTGGAGTGAATTAATAAATTAACATGTATTAGAGATTAAAGCAAGGGCTTGGAACTTAATACTGCTTGTCGTAATTTGTGTTGCCTTTGTGTTTTCTTAACAGTTGTAAATGGGATAGAGAGAAACTGACATTATCTAAGCCCATAGATTACAGCTGGAATTTGCTTCACAAAGCTTTAGTCATTAAACACTCCTGTGAGCACTGACTTGTCAGAGACTGAAATCAAATACCTCTAAGTACAATTCTGATTGCAACTGTTTTTTCTTCTAAATGCCCTAACCTACCTAGAGCTGGGGAAAGTGTGGGAAAAAAAAGCTAGAAAGAAGAATGCGGACAGTTTTATAATTCGGGGTTTCAAGAATAAAGCAGAACACAGGTTTCCTTCTTCTACACCATCTCTCTTCTACTCCCCTACCTCACATTAACCATAAAACAAAGCAATCCTGGGAAAATTATCTAAAAACCTAAAACCAAAATACCTCTGAATTTGGGAAAACAGTTTTTTGTTTCTCTGCCCAGTAACAGAAAGGAAGTTCTCTCTTTTTCATTAAGAATGACAGGAGAGGCCCAATACACACTTATCATTTTGCTGTTAACTAAGCTATATTACAAATATACTTTATTAAATGTCTTTGAAGTGAGATGTATGAAGAAAAACATGAGCCTACTACAACAAAAAAAGTTACATAAAGGAAAAGGAGTAAGCATCCAGCAGCAGTTTGACTACAAAAAAATTGCTTTAAAGCATGCTCTAACTGCAAGTAAACATAATATTCTCCATTCTGATCTCATAGTTGAAGATGAAATATTTGAAGATCAAATAACAGACAGAGGGGATGAATAATCAACAACCACTAGGATCCCATCAGAATCCTATACTGAGGTATTCAAAAAGCAGGTGAGAAAGAGCACCTCTAAAACATGTCTCCATCCAAACAAAGGGAGAAGCAGACTGGCTATACTTACCTGAAACAGCTCATTTTTGTAGGATATCAACACATCTCTGACTTTCTCTAGAAATAAACATATATATACACGCACACTTAAAACAGGGAATGGGTCAACAATACAGAGCTTTGTTAAGCATAGGCAAGCTGCTTAGCTCTACAAACACATGCTCAAGGAAGACATCAGTGGAATGAAATCATAAATCCTGTGACAGAAAATACTGAAGGCTTCCAAACAACTTCCAACTTCCTACAGTTTCCAGACTTCCCTAGTACTGTAAATTTTATCAGATGGTGTTGATCTAGGAGTTCAGTATTTTATCATTAGCAGTGGCCAAGGAGAAATAGATGAACAGACAGCTTCAAAAATTCCTTAAATAAATCAGTCTAGGAAAAAAACATGCATCAGAACATGAACTGCCTATGGGAACATTAGTCACTTCAAATCTACCAAGACAGAATTGTGGTTACTCACAAACCTACCTGTATAACCAATGAGCATTAAGATGTTATAATTATGAAACAAACAAGAGAGTGAGGCAAAGCAGGTTATAATAACAAAAAGAGAATAGATAGGATGCTTACCCATCACCTGGGCTCACTTATGAAACTCCAGCGGAGTGGATCTCCAGAAGAGATCCTTCCCCACTGGTAGTCAGCACTTAAATGGGTCTAGGAGAGGTGGAGCCTTCACCTGTGCTACGCTACTGTGGCTGACTCACTGCTCACCTCAGGTGATCAACAAGAGGTTCAGGCCATGAGTCAGCAGTTCCCATGCATTACCACAGACTGATGTATTAACATCCTGCACCATCTCAATGAAGTCCCTCCTCCAATCTCTGGGACCACTGACTATCCCTGAATTAGCACTGTCTTTCAAAATGCATCAATAATCAGGTATCACTGGCACCTGCTATCAGGATGCCAACCACATGATATCAACTAGATTAAACTTCAGATGCATTTTAACTGTTAGACTGACATAATAGAATGGCAATGATCTTTTAAACTTATAGACCAGTGGGTCTACTATAACATTGTGTTTCTCTTACTCAGCACTTTGATCAGAGTGCTTCTTTTTCTTGCCTAGAGTAGACAGAGGAAAGAACACCACAAGCTTGCATCTCATCCAAACAAAACTGTGGCTATTATGACACTAGAACTAATTTTCACAGTATTCAGTCTTAAACCACCATATTTTAACTGCTGCTACTGCTTACAACATTGCTTACTCAATATCATAGAACTCAAATCACCCTAGAATCCACTAAGGCCCAAACAGTAATTCCAAAATATGAGCTAAAGGTACAACTTTAGCCACTGAATGGACTAGAAGATGACTCTTTAAAATGCTCTGCTTGCACAGGTTAAAAATCAAATATTTTTCTATATGACATTGTTTCATGGACACCTACCATGGAATTCCTTATGTTTCTGACAGACCTCATGCTGTGGGGTTTGAATCTCCCATGTCTCACTGCCCAACTCTGTGTTTGTCTCCATCTCTTCCTGTTCCTCTTCCTCATCCTCCTCTTCACTTTCCTCACACAAATTATTGCCCAACTGACGGCTCCAATAAGTCTTTCGTAGCCAGTCCAGCACAACATCACAACCTACAGGAGAACATAAAACATTCTCTTCTCAGTGAGGTTTACTTTTCTCTTTAAAAAAAATACAAGTGGGACATTGCTAACTTGCATTGTGAGTAGAAATACTGCTAACAAGTTATGAATCTGAAATCACATACAACTCCAATAATAAAAATATGAACGATTAAAAAAAAACACAAAACAAAAGCTTCAAGCCCCATAAATCCTCATAACACCTACCCACCTACAACACTGCATTTCAGTCAAGCAATGCCAAATCTAAGTGGAAAATAAGTTCACATAGCAACATTCTGGTGAGAAGATGAGTCAATTCTTCAATATCTCAATGATCAACACAGTATCTATAGCAGCACATACTTTTTTGTATAGATATTACAGTAAACATACATTAAATAGAACAAAGATAAAAATTCTTTTATCCCATCACTATTTCACTGGTCAACTCAACTTAAAGACCACATTGAATATGATTAATCTGGTTCCTCAGTGTTTAACTCCAAATTCCCAGGAATTGCTTCAAGAACTACCAGCTGGTAATTTACTCACACTTACAATACCTTCTGCATTTCCCCTAAATTCATTTAACAATCTCACGTACATCCAAACCCTTAGGAAAAGCATATACCTCCTTCCCTGACATAGACTTTATGTGCTGTTAGAAACAATAACACCTAACTATCATTTCCAGTATTTTTTTCAGTTATCTCAGGATACCTGCCCTATGATGCATCTCCGCCTGGAACCAGCAAAGCTGAAAAACAACTCCAGTGGCACAGCCTGCTTTCCATTTTCATGAAATGGCACTTCTTCCTCATATGGAAAGGAATGACAACTTCCAGCCCTTTCTGAAAGCCTAACACTGACTACCTCCCAAGAACTGGGACTCTGCATCAGCAATGCCAGCAGGAGAAGACAATGGAGAGTGAAGAGCAATATTCCCTTCATAGTTTTCCTCCTCTTCTGCCTGTTCTCTACCAAGCATACTTCAGCTACCCTCACAAACTACACTCTCCTAGCTGTTTCACATTACAGTTTTCCCTTCCAGGTTAAGCCCATAGCCTGCTAGGCAGAGTCCCAGTAGAGATGGTTGTCCCCCTCAGAGCTCTCCACTTGCCTGCTGGTGAGGGCACCATGTGACAGATGTCACTGGATATCACTGGCAAGGCCTATCCATAATGCCCATTGGCAGTACTTACCCTTGCGGCACAGAGCCAAGCGGGGCAGCTTCCCATGAGTCAGCTCATGACGGAGATCCACAACCCAGGTAGGGATACCCACCTGCAAGAGCAGCCACAGACATCACCACACAACTGCAAGGAATAATGCTAAATCCATCACACCCTACAAAGCCACAGATAACCTTTTCCTAGATGGGAATAATGCCTCTGAGCCACCTCAGTACAGTGCTTCCCAGCTTCCCCCTTCAACAGTGGGAAGTGATCCCTCCTCTGACTCACCTCCCTCCTTTAACCTAGAAACTTTACAGATGTGATCTTACAGTTTAAGTTCTCCCACTTTTCCCAGGAAAACAGCTGCTTCTTTAGACATAAGTACTGCGTAGAGCTGTACAACGTGCTATAATACCATAATAGCATAACAATACCAGGGTGGTAAAGTCTTTAGCTACAGCAAATGAGAATGAACCCACATACAGCAGCCACAGAAATGAAGAAAGAGGGCTACTTAACTTTAAAAGGACTCAGGTGGGCAGGGATCTTCAGCAAGAAGTACCCCTCACCTCCAGGGCCAATTCTTAAATGAGAACAGGGAAGGAGTAGATCCCAGCTCCACCCCTTCCAGTCACTCAGCTGTACTGCATACACCTGAGCTCCCCTAGGTTAGCCTTGCCATCCCACCAAGTACTCCATCACTGTTTCAGGCTGTAAATTAGTATTTCCACTACATATACCAAGAAGTCAATTTTTATTTAAATTGATTAAACATATTGGATAGTATTTGTATATAAAACACAACTATGCTGCTTAAGTTTTTCCTATAGATATTTAACTATTAAAGACAACTATTAGTAAGTCTGATCACTAGTAAAAGCATCTTCCTTAAGAGAAGAAAAAAAAAAAAAAAAAGAAAAACCCACATTTATTTACTCCCACATAGGAGTACCTAACAAGGTTACATTGATAGTTAAGTCTCAAATACTGTTTGTTCTTCACATTCAAAGCTTTCTGTTCAAACTCAGAAATGATGCTCAGTACAGCAAGCATTAAAAGGACTCAAGTTGCTACTACAATTACATATTTTTCCTTCTTCGTAATGAACTGGACAAACTCACCAGAAGCAACTGAGAATAACAACATTAAAATAAAACACCTAAAAATACAACTAAGCACTTTTAACATAATCTTGATTCTCACTAACTGAATTTATAAACCATAGACATAACACTTTTTCATTACTGCAATAATAAAACCAAATAACATACCTGTAGAGTAGCATTACTTGCATCAAAATCAAGACTTTCAATAAAATTTCAACTTTCTTCAAGGCTTTTATAGCAGAAACACTAAGTCACAGCTGAAAGCAGTAATGGAGCATGTGATGGGAAGGCAGGGCCAGCCCAGGTGTATGCAAGGTACTTGAATAAAAGGAAGGGATAGAGCCAGGATCCACTCCTTCTCAGGCCTCATTTAAGGATTAGCAGAGGAGGTAAAGACATCTCAGTAGGTATCCTTATCTACCTGAGGTTTTTTTTTTTAAAGGTAAGTAGCTATGTTTTTTTTGTTTGTGTTTTTTTCCTTCTTTGTATCTGTATTTATAGCTGCTATTATTGCTGTACTTTTTCGCTGTATTACTACTTTGTTGTTAAAATGAATTGGACTCTATATCTTTAAGAAAAAAAATTTGTTATTATTAATACAAAACATGTATATGCTTTCTCTATGCATCAGTTACTGAGTAACTTTCTTTAAATATTTACCTCTATGGCTAGTTTTCTCAGAGGAACACTGACCATTTTCTGTTTTCTTTCTGTGATCAAGTTGACAAACCTGCATGTAGGTTGCAGAAAAAATAATAAGTTCATGACGAGCAGTAGAGAAGCTTGGAATCCATCATACAAATCCTCCACAAATTGTATAAAGCTAGAGACCCAGAGATCTCAAGTCAAACTAGACAAGTGAATAATGCAGTTTGTCCTAGTCTTTTTCTTACAGGGCAGAGGCTTTCAGAGTCCTACCTTACAAGAGCCAGACCATATGAGAGAATGAGCTCATGTGATCTCAGTTTGCCAGATGAGTCCAGGGCCTTGCAACGAATCAGTTCAGCTGTGCAATCCACTGCAAGAGGCATTTTAGGGCCATATCTAGAGAAGAAAAAAATGAGCAGTCTCATAAGACTATACCACTGTCCCCACCCCCTCAAAAAAGGATTTCTTTTTTGGTAGTACACTTCATGTTTTATAATGCTAGGAAGCCTGAAGGTATGCATCCAGAAAGACAGCAAGGCTCCTTCCTGAACACTTCTGCTGTTAGTGGTGCTTATGTAACTACTCCTACACATGCATTAAATGAGCTCTTATATACCAGGTACGTATTCTCACAGTATGAAATTGCAATGACTGGACTGGACTCCTTTATGGACGCATGGGGGGAACACAAATGGAATGAGACGATGCTGGGTCCTGGGACGTGCTCAGAGCAGCACAGTCTCAACAGAAACGAGTCTATGAAGCGGAGGGCACGCAGGGCTTCCGCCTTCCTTGGCAACCGCGGACCGAATATCACAGTACAACCCACGAGTGTCTGGAGCTCCAGCACCAAGAAGGCGCCCTGCAGGACGCAGCCCTTGCGATGTGCCCGCAACCGCAGCCTCCCCTACGGACACAGCGCACGACGCCGGGACCAGGCAGGCGCGGAGCCGGCCCGGCGGCTCCGGGCTCACAGCAAGCAGCTCTCCGCCGGAACGCGGCCCGTACCGGCTCTTCCAGGCCGACACCCGATCCAGCGCCTCCTGCTGCAGCCGGCTGTCTCCGCAGTACAGCCCCACCATCACCTGGTCCCATTCCGCCCTTCCCCTCCACGCCACCACGGTTCGCAGCGGCTTCAGCCGTTTACGGGTGGGGGAAAAGGACCGCCGGACGCGGCGCCACACCGGCCCGGCGCTGCCCGACATGGCGCGGCTACCGCCCGTCCTCCGCGCTGAGCTTCCGCTCCTGAGGGCGGCGCTTCCGGGCGGGCGGCGCGGCGGGGCTGCGGAGGTGCGGGCGCGTCCTGCTGGGCTGACCGGCATGAGAGCGTCGGGACCGCGCGCGACCAGCCTTCAGCTGGCCCTTCTTTCTTTCCTTTCGGAGGAAAGTGGTGAGCGCTAGAGTCGTCATTTCTGCAACCAACTTCCACCCAGGATCGGAAGAGAGACAAGCCTTGCCACGAGGATGACTTCTGAAATTGAGGAACTACAGCAACATCTCATTCGGCATCATCAGAAAAGGCTGGGAGCTGCGACTTGGTTGCGTGCTCGTTACAGTGAAGAACTACTGCCTGTCGGCTATATGGACAGTCCCGCTGCCTGAGTGAGGCGTGGCTCAGTTCCCCTGCAGTCAGTGTAAAACGCCTGGTAACTTCGCTGAGTGCAGGATTAAGCACAACGAGTACAGGGTGCGGATGTTGCTTTGTTCTTGCAGATATGCACACACAGATTCTGAGCAGTCAGAAAATCTGTGCGAATGGAAAGCAGTGAGACATACAGTAGCATCCTTTATGCTTTTTCAGGAACTAAGCTGTGTGGCTTTGCAGAACCATGTGCCTCAAAGCATCTACAGCTGTAATCTGATTGCCAAAGTTCTTTTTCGATAGGAGTGCTGAGATGCTTAATTATGTATTGAACTACTGTAGGACCAAACACTTCCACTGCCCTGTAAATACCTGTAGGGCAGTCTTAGAAGAAGAAAATCTGGGATTTTGGGAAATTCAGGAGGCACAGCTAGTATCTTGCTATTGGCTGAAGCTGAATAACAGCATAGCCAGAGAAATTGAACTTTTGGGGTAGAAATGAACCGACTGATAATCAGTGCCTCATAGCCCAGGCATAAGAAGACATTTCAACTGGGGAGTTAAGTGGTAGTTAAATATCTGGCTTATCTTTGAAAAAAACTTTTCACTCTTTCAGGGTTAAGGTAATAATATATGGGCTGCTTTCCCCATTTTAGGGAATGATCTGTAGTATTAATCATAGGCCATAATCCCATTTTGAGAATCCATGTCAAATCCTCTGGGGGGAGGGGGGAGGGAGGTTTACGTGTTACTGGCTGCAAATTTAGGAGGTGCTTCAGTGTCTGTTGTCTGCAGTGCTTATCTCTGTGTTCAGCCAGCTCCTCTGGTGCATCCAGCTTTCAGTAGATGTTCCGTAGGAGAGGTTTTCTGCGTTTGAGATCGGCTTTCACTGCTGCCCCCAGGAGAGGGTGCTCTCTAAGTGTGTACTGCAGACTCATTTCTGCATGGGAAGCTCACTGTGAACGTCAGAATGGGGCATTTCTATGCAACGTAACTCCATGTAGGTCCTAATGTACCTCCTGTCACATCAGTTAATGTCTGCTCTTATTTGTCATAAAAACTAGTATTTACAGCTGGAGCGTTAAGTCAAAGCCAGTGTGATAATGCATAGAGATCATTGTAATTCTGCTGGATCTACTCTTGCTGAGAACTTGGCACTGGGCTTAATGGTTGGGTTGAATGTATATCTGAAGACCAGCTCAAAAAAACTGCATGGAGTTAGGTGTCAGCATCTTGCGTGTGGTCTGGGCAGTGTAGGTGAGGAAATACTCTCGTTTCATGTAAGCTAAAATGCTATATATACGAGGAGAATAATGACTTTAAAAACACAATTAGCTTAGAGAATAGACCAGTGAATAACAATTCCATTCAGAAAATGGACATCCAGCTAATTTTCTAAGTGCCAAAGTCAGAAATCTGCATGCTGGAATTGACTTTTTTTGAAGTTTGTTCAGTCAGAAGAAGATACTTTGGATAAACAGCATTCTGCATGTTAGTAATATATAAATCATAAAGCTGTCTCAGCTCCAGGGCTAAGAATTTGAAGGTTTGGAGAACTGACTACTTAGGGATGAGAGTAAGTGATTATTAAAAACTCATTTAAGTAATAATTGTCATTTGTG